TCCGCCAAGGCTCTCCTTTGTCCCCGGTTCTGTTCACTGTCTTTATGGACAGAATATATGAGCACCGCCAGGAGTCGCGACCAAAACAGAACTTTTTTGGTCTGCTGTTTGCAAATGATGTTGTCCTTTTGGTTACAAAAACACAGGACCAGCAACATGCACTGGACCGGTTTGCAGCCGGGTGTAAGGCCGCTGGGACGAGAATCAGCACCTCCAAGTTTGAGGCCATGGTGCTCGACCGGAAAAAGGTGCCTTGCCTTCTCCAGGTGGGTGAAGAGGTCCTTTCTCAAGTGGAGGTGTTTGCATACGCATCAGAAGGCCCTCCCCCTGCTAGGCAGAGCTGACAACAAAATAATACATCTTCGGTCCGTGTACAAACCACTAGTGCACAGGCAGCCCGTGGTGAGGCACTTGATACGAAGATGGAATACAGACACTGATGAGGCCCTCCGTGATTCCTTTGACAGGACCCTATGGGACGTGCTCTGCGACCCCCATGGGCAGGACATTAATGGCATCACGAAGTGCATCACAGGATACATAAACTTCTGCTTCGAGAACATTTCAGTGCCCCGGAAGCTGCAGTGTTTTGCCAACAACAAGCCGTGGATTAATTCCGACAAAAAGGCTGTGCTGAAGGCAAAGAAACGCGCTTTTCGATCTGGGAACAAAGAGGAGCTGAGAGACGTCCAGAGACATCTGAGAACATCAGTGAGGGAGGCCAAAGCTCGATACAGGGGCAAAATGGAAGAGCAGCTGATCAAAGGACTTTGTGTATGGTCCTGACCTTCAGTGTGAGGGCCCCTCAGGGGACCGTCCTCGTTCCTCTACACTTTAGATACAACACGGACGGTTGTGTCCCACAGAAGTTCTCTGTCGACTCTGCCATCATCGGACTCAGCTCCGAGGACGATGACACAGAGTACAGAGGAGTTATACAGGACTTTGTGGACTGGTGTCAGCGGAACCACCTCCTCATCAACGCAGGGAAGACCAAGGAGATGGTGGTGGATTTCCGCAGACGCCACTCTGCCGCTCCAGCCCCAGTGAACATCCAGGGAAAGGACATCGAGAGAGTGGACTCTTACCAGCACCTGGGTGTTCATCTGAACCACAAACTGGACTGGACTCATAACACAGACGCCCTCTTCAAGAGGGGCCAGAGCCGGCTCTACCTGCTGAGGAGGCTCAGGTCTTTTGGAGTGCAGGGGCCTCTCCTGAAGACCTTCTATGACTCTGTGGTGGCATCAGCCATCTTGTACGGTGTGGTCTGCTGGAGCAGCAGTATCACAGAGAGGGACAGGAAGAAGCTGGACAAGGTCATCAGGAGGTCCAGTTCAGTCCTGGACTGTTCCCTGGACACAGTGCAGCAGGTGGGGGACAGGAGGGTCATGGACAAACTAACATCTGTGTTGGACCATGACTGTCACCCCCTGCAGGACACTCTCTCTGCTCTGGAGAGCAGCTTCAGTGACTCATTCATCCTTGATATGTGAAGGAGAGGTTTTCGCAGGTCTGTCAGTGTTTGTCAAACAATGAGGATTAACAAACACTGCCAACATGATCTCACAGGTCATGCTTCGGTGCAATATCTACTAATGTCAGAATGTGCAATATATAACCACACTTTCAGTCACTGTGTCCCAGAGCCTCATGCTGCTAATGTACAGATGTAAACATACTGCTGCTAATGTACAGATGTAAACATACAACTACATATTGCTTGCACCAGAGTACACAGTACTTTACACGCTTCTTTTTTTTTTGCCAAATGTAGTGATGTTATACGTCTTTATTATGATGTTAAAGATAGAGATTTTATACTTGTTTCTTTGATGCTAAAGTTAGATATTTCATTTCATTTCAATTAGCATATTTGTTGTTCTTTGAACTTGCTTGTTTGCTCCTCATCCCTACTGTCCTGTAACTTGTGATGCCACACTGAAATTTCCCCACTGTGAGACGAATAAAGGATCTCTTAATCGTAAATATTTTGGGGTATTGTTCAGAGGAGGAGCGTGAGATTGTGCAGTTATGTGGTCACTGAATCAGACCGCTGCGGTGAAGAGGGATTTGAGTTGAAAGGCAAAGCTCTCAATTCACCAGTCAATCTACATTCCCACCGTCATGGCCATGAGCTTTGGTAATGGGCGAGATTGCAAATACAAACGGTTCCTCCGCAGAGTGGCTGGGTGCTTCTTTAGAGATAGATTGAGATAGGTAGAGACCCCGAGGAAGACCCAGGACACATTGGAGTTACTCTTTCTTTCAGCTGGCCTGGGAGTGCCTCGAGATCCTCCCAGCTGGAAAAGTGTGTTGATAGGGAAGTCTGGGCGTCTCTGCTTAGACGCAACCCGGCAATGGATGAAGCGGAAGAAAATGAACAGATGGATGGACAATTATACAACATAACGCAGGTCTTATTGTCATCCCTTCAACTCAACAAAAGACACAGACTCCACAGACTTTGTCAAAGTTATTATTGTAGAATACTTGTTGTATTTTTTCTTTCATACAGACAAAAGGTGTTGGACTTAATTCCCGTTAAATTCTCGTAGATTTCCATACAGTTTAGTCTACAGTTTACAGGTGTTCTTCCTTGTATAGGCTATAGATATTATCGCTTAAATAACAGGCAGGTAACTCTTTATTTTATATATTCAATAGTCTCTTTTTCACTTTTTTTTGGTCTTTTTAGTTTCTGCACAGTTTTGGGCTGCGTTTTCTGTCTGTAGAGAACAACAGGTGGTGAAAGGACCGGGGTAAATCCACATATGTACAGTGTTGAGAGGGTCATGTAAAAACCATCCACGCTTGGAACATTTCAATGGCAGTAAAAGGACAGATTCACACGAGCGCAGCCTAAACGACGTCGATGCGGAGGCGCCGCACTTCTGCCAACTCCAGCTCTGTTTACGTAGAGTCGTCTTCTCACGTTTTTGCATAAGTAACTCCAGGTTGTGGTATTTACAGCAGTGGTCTTAAAGGACACATCTTTTGGCTTGTTTCCCAACGTTTGGGTTGAGACAACTTAAAATAGTTGGTTTATGCACGAGAAAAGTCTATTTATAAAAAGAAAATCCTGTTTTAAAAGTATATAGACAAAAATATATAGATACAAAAAGGTTATACAATAAAAATAATTGGACTTTTGAAATGAGTTCAAGTTGTGTGAACTACAAAAGTAAGTTATGTTTATGTACACTGCTAAACATATCTATGCACAATTTAAACATATTAGAAATCATAAACATAATTTTTTATTTAAATATTGTTCCATTACTTAAATACAAAGCTTTATTGTCACTTTAATTTTAAAATGGTCAACTAGTAATTCATAAAAAAAATGTGTTTTATCTTTGTTGTTATTGTTTCCCAATGTTTTTTTCTGTGTCAGTTGCATCTACATGAATGGTGCTTAATAAATAAATTTCTCTTAGCTAGAAAAATGAAAAGATAAAATACTTCATATACTGTTGATTAGGACTGTGATCAGTAACATACATAATTGTTAACTTTTATTGATAGGTTCATTTCATCTTAGGCTTTGTTTAAGTTTTAATAAGAAAAAATGTGAATAATGATAATATTGCAATTGATCAAAGCAAAAATATATTTAAAAAAAACATAATGAGAAAGCAAAAGAAGCCAAGCATGTGTCTTTTAAGTTTTGGGAACTCAATTATGTTCATGGACGACAGAAAACGCAGCCTTTGGAATATGCTGAGGAAAATGTGCAACTGTCTCGTCCGTGGGAGCACCGGTGGAGAAGAATTATAATAATCATAATAATAATAACAATATACAAGCGCGTCCATTTTTTGTCCCTCTCTTTACAAAAGCAGTAGGATTTAAATAAATAAATAAATAAATAAAATAACATAAAAACCTGTTAAATTATAGATGTGCACATTACAAGGCGATCTGTACAGTAAATAGTGTTTTACAATTTTATAATTTCTGATAAATATAATATACTCTTTGTTGTTATTATCACATGTGATTTGCCTTCTATGAACTCGTCGCACACAACATTTCAATGAGAGATGGCTGGACGGGTGGACGGACAATGGAGCCAGACAATTTTTACACCGTTTTGTTGAATCTAGTTGACCCCATCGGCTGTGTTCAAATATCCACACCATTCCAACTTAAGTATAGTCCTGAACTTAACTTTCACTTTTTCCCAAAGCAGTTTACGTCATACTTTACAACAGTAACGATTCAAAAGATCTTGTTAAAATATACAATCTGTTTAAAGTGCATACGCCAATACAAACTTTCCTTTTCATAGAACACAGTGAAGACGATTATATTTAAGAATTTTCTTGAGACTTTCCAAATGTCACCATTATATTGTACAACATTACTTCCTGGTTGTGATTGATGACATCCCCAGAGGAATGTTGTGTAATAAACTGGGTCAGTGTTCAACTTTGATTTAGTGGAATGAATCATTTAAGTGATAAAACAATCGGCAAACGTTATGACAAACCATGAATTTCCGTCTTGTGCTGTTTTCAGTTCAAGAACCCTGTTTCCTCAACGTATGTAAAACTATTATCAATATTTAAAACAGGCATCATCCCACCATTTTGCTAATCAGACCTTGGCCAAACTGTGTTGGGAAAAAAAATGACTTAATACAGTTTCCGGTCATAAGAACCACCGAAACCTTGTAGGATTACTATAGCTTAGGAAAGAATATCGAAATCTACAATTTTCTAAACAGTCCAATACGTTTGAGTGAATTCAGGATGAGCTAAAAGGGTGGACATTCGGACACAGCCACAGAGAAGCGCTTAAACAGGACAGTGAACGCGTCGCGAAGGTTACACGGTGGTAGTAGTAGTCTTAAATGAGTTTTACCAACACAGAAAAGTGGACAATGATACCAAATGCATGCTTCAAAAACAGACAGACCAATACAATATGAGCCTTAGCGCCCGTTAGCTTGTAGACGGGCGGCGGCCATGTCGGGTGATGTTTCCATGATGCATTCAAGAAGACAAAGAGTTCTGTACAGGTTTTAAGGTTGTTCCCAAAATGGCCGACCTCCTCTTTTCGAGTGTTTTTCCGCGCGTGGTTTTGCATGTGTCGGTGAGGTCTCCGGTGTACGTAAAGTCCTCCGTTAGCGTCAGTAACATGGCAGTCCGCTTGCATAGTCTGCCGGAAATCACGCCTTCGACAAGTCCAGGGACGCGTGGACAAAAGGACGCCAACGAACGAAGGATTTTGGAAAAGGGACTTGAACTCTGCAAAAATATCTGGCACCATACGAGAGTTAAAGCGACTTGATTTGAGTTGTTTTGACAAGTTCAGATGTTTTTTAACCTTCGAATTATATGTTTTACAATAGTTCGTTTTGGATGATCGCACATTGAATAACTTTATTTATGTGTTCAAATGTTTTTTTTATTTGACTTTGGATGCAGTCTGGTTAGAAAACGAAAGTCAATGTTGTATAGAGCCTTTCATGTTCATAAACATTTAAACATGAACGATTATATTAGACAATTCAAAATCGCATGTTTTTTTTTATTAGAGAATCTTTGGTTAATAAGATTTAAACAAGTTAAAACAACTCCATCATTCTGAGTTCAAGTCGCGTTAGCTCATGCATAGTGGAGTTTGCAGAGACAGATGGAATCCAAGAAAGCCAGCACCTTTCCACAGACCTGGTGCGTGATGGGGGAAAACACAACATGGCCGAATGTGGCGAAGAGAACAAAAAGGAATGTTTAGGTACACTGCAAAAATGAATGAAATATCGACTGTATATTCAACTTAATTTGAGTAGTTTTGATAAATGACCTTTTGTTTCATATGAGCCGTGGTGTTTGCTCCGACTGGATTCATTGTTGTTTAGAACCGCCAATAGAATATAAACTTGTCAAAACCATGGTACTAAATTCAAGCCATTAATAGATATTTTTTGCAGTGAATAGCTATTGGAATGTATGACGATGGGTCAAATGAGGGTGAAAAAAAATATAGTATTTTTCATTATTTTTTGCCCATCAGTGTTAATTTTGCATTGTCAAGCTGTCAAAGAAACTCCATAAAAATATATTTGGATGATGCCAAGTGCAAAATTATAAATATCTACATAAGTTATGATTTGAATCATAGCTTTGACAAGTTTAGATTCATGTGTATCTATAATCATTCCCTCTAAACTATAAAGTAATTGGAGGTTTCAGAAATTGTGTGTAAAACATATTTTTTCCAACGCGAAAATGTGTTCTTGAAGTAAGATGTATTTATCTTGATTTAAGTACATTTGATTTAACTTTACCAATGGACCAAGAATAAACTCTGAAATCACAAAAGTGATTCCGAATCGAACACATAAGGAAACAATAGTCGTTTGTTCAAAGATAGTTACTATTTACTGAAATCAAGATCCAGACCGCTCCATTCAAGAAAGTTTTTGCCGTGTTTAAAGATTTAAACTAGTCCAAACTCGATGATTTCAATTCATGAAATATTCTTTTTCTAGTGCAAGTTACGCATACTTCAGAACATATAACAGCGTGGATAGAGGCATAAAAACATGTTAATGATCGAATAATTCATACAAAATAAATGAGTTGTGAAGCAGACAGACGGTGGGAGGGAGAGAGAGTGCATTAGTTTAAAGGGCCGTCGTCTGTGCACCGTGTGAATGTGGAATTAAAGGGTTAATGCTTCGGGAGCCCAAAACACCAGCGACAGACGCCCACAACGCTGCAAAAACACTTTTCTCAAACCGTTTGAGTAGACTAGACTAGTTTAGATTTATTTGCTTATAATATTTCACTTGTTTTGCTGATTATTCTTGACTTTTTGGAAAAGATAATAAATATAGGGACTGAGCAACGCAATGAAGACACATGGACGGATTCACCGAGAAATGCACAGAGTGGTGAAAGTATGGAAGCTGTATTTGATCCATGTTATGAAAAAACATCTGAATAAATCCTTTCATTTTTTTGATAAATCTCTTTATATAAAAATTACAAAAGCAATACAATATTTGTCTAATTTAAGCTTATGGTGCAAACTGGTCACTAAAATATTGGCACCTGCCAAGAATGTCATATTTAATCATCCTTACTCATTTATGTAAAATATTTCCACTTAAATATCCTGAACTCAGAACCTTTTGGTAGATTTACTTATTTTACTTTAATTATTTGTTTTTCTTGTTATGTTTCAAAGCATTAATGTTTATGAAAATTGCACTCACCCATTACTCAAAGCTCTAATTGACCTAAAATCAATGAGAAATGTCTTTCAACAGTTAAAAGAATGTAATTAAGACAAATAAATCTAATCCTATAAAACTACTCAAAGCAAGAGTACTATCTTTTGAACTATTGTCACTTTTGCCAATGCCGGACATGTGTTTTTTGCAGCCTGTGGAGATGGGATGAATGTTAGAATATGGACACAGACAATAACACTGTAAAAATGAAAACTGAAATATTATAAGTTATATATTCAGCCCCAAAAACCATTGGGATCGAATCCACAACCTCTCTCCAAACATACGGCCAGAGCGTGTGCGTGTGACAGGGATAAGAGAGCGTGGATACTGCAAATATGACCAGAAAATGACTTGAATTCAGATTATTGACACATTTAAGTAGTTTGGACTCGTTTTGAAGACTTATTATGGAAAATTGTTATTTTTATTGTGTTTGATTCTTACTTTTTCAACCTGCTTTAGCTCTATCCTTTACTCTCAGAAACTTGTGGCACAAACACGTCCCCCCGCCCCTTCTGCCTAATTTCTGTTGTCTGTTTACTCTCTGACAAATCAATTCAATCTCCTACTCCATATCCATATATGTAGTACTCAAAGCTCATTTCACATTCTAAAGCATTGAATGCCAAATAAATAGTCTCAAGATCCTGTTGAAAAGCCATAATGAAAACATATTATTTGTTCTTTGGAACCTAGAGTTAAGGTAAACAGTAAGGTTTTCATTTACTGTTTATATTTTATTTTCCCTCTTTCAAAGACCAAAGCACGTAAATGATGAGGACAACTAGCATGCTATTCCTTGTTTTCGGCCAAAAAAAGGCATGTAATTAGACACAGACAGCACATAGCGCTCATTTTGACCGCAAGAGCTGCTTTTACAACATCTACACTTCGGCAAAGCTAGCTTTTGGCGAAACAACTGCCAAATCTAGTCAAAACTACTTAAACCAATACAGTGAATTGAGGTCATTTTTTGCAGTGTGGCGTATGGGTGAGGCTATCCAGCGTAAAAGGAAGAGACAATTTTCCATCTGGCGGGAGTTTGTTGCAAGCAATTGTCCACTCCCCCTTTTCTGTTTCCTCCTTTTATTCCTTTGGAGAAATCAGACAAAATGCCAAATGTCTTGATACTTTTTCGATCGCGCGAGACCCTTACGTAAGTGTTTATAAGCAGGTCTCTACGCAGCAGTGATGTTGGGTCAAATGCGTTGGGTAAAATGTGGTAATAGTAGTAGTAGGTTTCTGGAGGAAGCTAGAGCGTTGGAAATGCCTGTTGTGTTCAAAAAGCCGGTTGTGAAGGCTGTTGTTATTGTTGTTGTTCCGATTGCACGGTGTGACGGGCAGACTGTATTGCCGATATGGACGTTGGGGGCGGGACCGTTGGGATTGATTGACAGGTGGTGGCGGGGGTTTGCGTAGGGCCGGGTGAAGGTGCTGATAGCGGCTGATTTCGGATTCTTCGTCCACATCCGTGTCGTCGATCAGCGGAATGTTATGAGCCAAGTCGTTGATGAGGAATTCTGGGTGTGCCATGAAGTTGTGGATGGAGTTCCGGGACTCTGGCTTTTCACAGCCTTCGTACAGAGAGCTACGGAAGGCCTTCACCACACGCATCTGGAACCAAAGATTCAAGGGAAAGAAAGAGAAGGACAAAGCAGGAAAAAGTTAGAAGCGTACAAGAAAGTATGATTGTGGAATGGAAAAGAGCCCGAAATGCACTGGTGTCCTCCAGTGCAGACAAGGACACGGAAAGGGACAGACAAGCAGGCTCAGGTGGAAAGAAATTTGATTTATTGGGGGGATTTTAGAATTTCAAGAAGACATTTGGACAATACTGAAATTTGAACTAAACTAACCCCAGATTTTTACAATGCATTAATCTTTGTAGAATGTTGATTTCTTACACATGATAAATTCTAATGGAGACACAGGGTCATGTTCTGTGATATTTGCAGAGCGCGACTTGGATCTTAGGCATGTCATGTTAAGTATCACATTATAAGGTTATGATTATAACAATACACACTATATGCAGTGTATATTTCACATAGTTACTTTTGAGCGGTTTTCTTGTCATTATCGTACACAAAGGTTCATTTTATTCACATTTTTGCATGCATTATCATCATATATATTTCGTAATATATGTTGCCACTAATAATGTTCTAGTAATGTAGTAATAATGAATAAGAATAATACATTCATAATTTTGAATATGTTTAAACTTTTGTGATGATTGCCGACATGTTTCTGTGGAGTTGAAAATGACTTCAGGATCAGCGTCTGGAATATTGTGCAATGCCCCATGTCATTATTAAATATTATTGATTTTATCTTTGACTTTTGACTCAAAATACCAGTATTGCCCAATGTCTTGATTGAACTTGATTTATCTATCCAAACCTCTTATGCCATCTCAAACGATAGATACTTTTGGCAATTCCAGCGGAGCCTGTTTTGGTGGAGGGTGAACAGAACTTTGGCTCATGGCTCATTCTCGGTCAGTTCTGGACACATTCAGTCGTCAACACATGGTACAAGAGCTTGGCACAGCCTTGCCGTGAGTCCGTGTCTTGTGACTTATGGTGAGGCTGTGGTGGGCTCTGTGTACCTCTGCAGGTGTGAATGAGACAAACTCAAAAGTCATGCAGCTCGGACAAGGAGCAGAACAGAACTGCACTGTACGTGGTTTTCTAGGAACGGCTGCAGCGTTATTCAGCGTTATCGACTCAGTAACAAACCTCCAGGACTTGAATGTGTTTGAGCAAAATTAGCTAAGTTCAAACACAGAAATATTACACAGATGTTAAAAAGAGTCTATTTGCTGCGTTTCAATCGCAGTAAGTTATTATTGAAATTGATCTATTATTGAGATTTGTGACAAATGCAACTATTTCAGCAGCACTGGTTCTGCGTTCACTGCTTGGTTTGGTGAGACACAACAGCTGTGCAGTGAAAATAATGAACTGAATGCATAGTCTTTCTGAATCTATAACCAACACTAAAGTGCCTCAGGGACATGTGCTGCTGCTAAAAGCACATATGTGAACTACAGACTTTCATGATATTCTGGCTGAAGAATAGCTCTCCTCATCTCTAATGGCGTCTCTGTGCACACTTTACTCTTCACATCAGCCTAAAGAGAAGCAAGAGTAGATGTTGGCGTCGAGTGCTGAATCCGAGTCCTCTGCAGCCTGGCTCACAGACGTGCTGATGCATTTGGATATAAAGCAGAGCTACACTAGTGCAGCTTTGTTCCACAAGAGCTGAAGGCACACACGTCCACATGCATCTGTCAATCCAAGAGTCTGTGAAATCACACTGAGTCATCCGCACCACTCTCACACAGTACAAGACCCCAGAATTACCCTTTATGTGAAACCGCTATTATGTACAGCTTTTGTTTTCAGCAATTTGATTTAGGAATGAGGAAGACACAAAGGAGACCGAAAACCACTGCTTTAGACATGTTCTTAAGGAGATATATTAGGGAGTCTTTTAACCAGGAGACAGCATTGTTCCCTCATCAAACAGACTTGTGTTTAGCTCCATCCATGCTAATACAAGGCACGCCCCTGCCCCTTCTCTCTAATATTTGTTGTTTTCAGACTCGTTATGCTATGACGAATCCTAACCTCGGATAGAGCTTTTTTCGTTCTGCCTTTTAAAAACAAAAGTAATGCCTCCAATTGGCTTATCCCTGTGAAATTATGTATTTTCTCTGTCAAATTACGTTCTTTACAAGAGGTTTAGGATAGAAGCAGTGTTTAAGTGCATTTCTCTATCTGTTATTCATTTACATTAACACAACACAACAAATTCGTTAAAATATAAATCCCAAATTTGATCGCAATGCCTGTCAGATCCCAATCAAAAATATTTATCCACAACCTCGCGGCACACACACGTGCACAAACGCTCGCATGGACACACACACACACACATGGCACACACGCATCCATGCTCACACGGCCCTCGCTCTCGTGCACATGCAGAAAACTGAAGTGACTGAAATGATGAAGAGGCAGATGACACTGGCTGCGGAGTGAAAAAAAGAACCACAAAGTAAAGTAAAAGGACAAAGTCAGCGTTAAACAGTGCGAGGCGAGAGTGCTGCAGGCTGAAGGCTGTGGGTTCAAAGCCCTGAAGCAGAGTCATGCTCAGTAACATCTGCAAACAGTATGCCCGCATGAGTGTAAAGGCTTTGACTGACACGACTGCACTTACAAAAGTATTTACAGTTATGACCTCAGCCAGGCCAAGAACCAAATAGTGATTGAAATCATTTCTATATAAGAAAAATCAATGTTTTGGTGAAATCATTATTTTGAGTATTACAACACAAAAGATGTTAAAAAGCTTTGGAAGATCAGTTGTTTCATCGTATTTTTAAGCCACAGTGATTATTTAGCCGATAAATGGACAAATTCAAAGAATGTGTCCTTACTCTGAGCGGGCTTGCATCTCCACAGACCTGACACATTCTATATTTCTATGGAATCACTGCTCCTTTTGCTGTTCTCCTCCACAGTAAGACAACATTAGATATACAATATTATAAGTATAAGTAACCAGAGAAGTTAGCCGTTGTTACTTTAAATACTATAACAATTCTAATTGTGATTGTTACCTTTAAATTACTTAGGACTTACTTTTTTTGATTTCTTAAAAAGAAATAATAAAAATCTCTTCAAATGTAACTTTCTGAATTTAGACAAAATTATAGCTGTTAAAATACATATATTTAAAATTCATATTCTTCACCAAGTTGAAATGCTAAACTGCTAAAAAATAACAAATCCAATTAATGACACTTATCACCATTAGACTGATACATTAAGCAATCTGTGTAAATTCAAGCCTTTTTCTCATGTCGACATTTGTTTTTGCAGTGAAATGATGTGTGTGTGTGCAGAGGTCACATTCGCAGTCGGTGCATGCATCATCCCCCCACAAAAACCCCAAAATAAACCCAAAAATTTCGTATGAAAACAAAGAGCAGCAGATGAGTCCACAGTGCAGAGAGTTCCACACTTACACAGGACAAAGTGAGGGCGCGCTCATGCGTTCACTCAATTTAAGATGGAGGATTCGGAGCTACTGACTTTAATCAGATAATTCATTCATTCAGATAATATTAGACCAGAGATTCTGGTTTCAATCTTCAGCCCTTTTTGTAGAGTGCTATGAGCTGCAATCTGGAATCTGCGCACACTGGTGGTATGACCAAACCTGCAAGTCTATGACCTCAAGATAGATAAAGACTCAAAAGTTATCTGGACTAAGGCTTCATTGGCTTCTGTACTTACTTTACTTTCAAAATTCATACACATTTTCAGAAAACAGATCAAATTCAATTGATTTCTGTAAATGTTTAACTTAAAAATTTTCCGCTTACAAGAAAGTGTTCAGTTGCTTTGTTAACCCTTAGCCTAAATTGCAGTGGAGCCCCACTCTATGGGTGGCATCTCAGAGTTTGTCCAGCTTCAACCCTGATTTGGCCAACTTACGAAACTAAAGAATGTCTTAGTTGTAGACTGCATTTGCCAAAGTGTGTCCAAGGCACACAAAAACAGTTTTGTATGTTGCATATAAACACAATTAACGTGTATAGCTTAGAAAAGGTACCACCTCAACCAAGACTACATAAATACAAAGTTAGTCATGTGTTTCTGTTACTAAATTGTTTGAATACCCCCAAAAAGAAACAAAAAGCATGCCCCTTTCATTTATCATGTGGGTAGGCCTCGCATTGAAGATCACACCATCACTGTTCATTCCTCCACCTTAATCTGAGTTCAAACGTGACACAAACGCGTTCTGCTCATGATTGACAGGCGGTCAAGCTTCGGTTCAGTGCAGTTTTTCCAAAGAGCCTCGGGACAGAAAAACAACATGCAAAGCCTTCAAAATGCCTTCCGTCACACGTTTGTTTTCATTTAATATTTTCTGTAAACTTTCGAGTATAGAATGCCCAGGCAGTGAACAGAGCTGTGGACACTGCTGTCTCTACCTGACGGCTCTTTCAACAAGCGCTAGATGGAAAAACGTCAATGTTACAAAAGGAAAAGAATGGTAAAAGTGCTGAGAGCAGATCTGCAGATGAAGAAATGCAACAAAAACAGACAGAAGCAGAAAGCGGGTGGGTCATGTCTGCCTAAGGACTGATATATGTTTGACAGTGCAAACCAAGCATCAGTCAATACTATGTCCTCTATATGCAATTTTTATATTTCAAACAGGCTTTGTGTTTCATAACATAGATTACAGATTTTAGTAGAAATAGCTTTTATTCATAGAGCGTATTATATATGTTATTGCTATAATAGTACATATTTCAAATTCACTATATGTATCTTCGTTCTGAGAGCTGATTGGCTGCTACAGGGGTAATCCAGCCAGAGTCACTTGTGCGTGAAGAAGCGCTCTATGTACAGTATGTGCAAGTGACAAACATTTATGTGAATACTGATGTGACAAAAGGAGAAGAGACAGGAACAAGTGAGATGCTTTTATACATCTGCTACTTCAAAGTGTAATTGGGTTTAAATCAGGTACCACACATTTAATGTTTTAAAATAGGTTTTTGTTAAGATTTATCACAGAGACGTACCCTACCCCTGTAGGCCTATGACCTGTGTGTCAGAGTTTGCTGATATATTGGTCAGGTTCTAGAACAGTGAGTATAGCGCCTGTGTTTGCACACGGCACAGAGTAAATGAAAACAAACAGAATCCACTGTGGATCTCTTCAAACTTAAGTGAATGAAAGAGGGACACTGGACCAACTTAATTTGTTTAAATGACACACGCACGCTCCAATCAGGGTTTTCCTTTATTACCACATGCCAATGTGTGCACAATCACCGAAAGCAGAACTTGACATAATATGGCAGTGTCTAATCTAAATCCTTCATATTAGATGTCTTTGAGATATAGAATGATGGTGGAGTTTGTGCAGTGTAGTTTGTGCGGCCTGAGGAACTGCAGCCTCACACCACAGACTGAAGGTTCTGTTTTCTGACAGGGATGTCCCCATCCAGATACTGCTGCTTTTATTGTTACCCTTTCAGTTTAGCATGCATGTGTGTGCTTTACAGGTTAGCTGTAGCAGCACCACAGACATGACACTCTTTTCAGTCGGTCAAGAGCCTGATATCTTATCTGGACGGGAACATATCTACTTTATAACTTCTTAAGTGGAAAATGGCACTTAGGTATCTAGATTTTACTTTGACAGAACATACTCTTTCAAACACAAATCTATCTCAGATTGTTCTTGAATCACATTTCTATGAGTGGAATCATTCTGATTCTGATTCTGAGGAAAGGAGCATGTATTGCCAAAGTAACTGTGGCCGATAATGACCTTATCTAAATGTGTACTTAGCGATATAGCGCAGCAATGTAGCATAGCGGTGTAGCTCTAAGATGAAGAGGAGTCTAAGATGGAGGACGAAGGAAGTCGAGTGGGAGGAGCAACGGAAAAGGCTTGAAGAGAAAAATGGGCCCTCAGAAACAAAACAAACAAATAAACCAAAACAACAGCAGGAATAAACAGCTCAAGCGTTCACGTGCAGCTCTCACGCCGAAGCCCCAACGCCACAAACGTTTAGTGACAGAAAAATACATGAACATGTGCACTACAACATGCACACACACACACACTCGCCGAACTGACGCAGGAGTCAAGACTACATGACAGGGAGGGGCGGGGCTGGACAGGAGGTGAGTGACAGATGAAGAGATGAGAAAGGGAGGGTCAAAATAATCCAATCAACAAAGAGAAAAATTAAAATCTACAAATGAAGCTTATCTCAGAGCCGTGATTTAGATCATTTACAATCTAAATGCCACAATATGGAATCTCTACATGACTGCACTGGACAAAAAGAATGTCCACATGAGCTCAAATTAGCTGAGTTCAGAATTTATTTGAACCATTTTAATATTTGTTTGAAGAGATTGCTATATAGACAGAGTCATAAAACCATTTACTTAATAATAAACTCAAATCAAATTCTGAATTCAAGCCATTTTAATTCATGTAGAAATTCAGTTTTTGCAGTGGGACAAATCGTTTAGGACACATTTCGGTGCAAATTTCAGCTGACTTCAACATCTGGAAACCTGGAATTGCTCAAGATAGAAACAAGAGAAAGACAGAACGTGATTTTAAACATAAAAAAATATAGAAGATTTTATTTTTTGAAGACATCAGCCAGAAGAACCTCACGAAAGCTGCAAATACACATAGTTAAAAATGAACAACACTGAGCAAAGGGCCTTGTATACTCGAAGGTTTACAATTGCAGATGTGTAATAATCAAATCTATTTAGTGAAGAATTGTGGAAAATAGACAACAAACTCCATCTTGGGAATGCTCCACCACGCTTGACCGCATCCACAAATACGTAAACACAGAAAGCACGAGGTGGGGGTGACAATATTCGTTTGATTCTGTTTTCCAAACGCTCATATCCAATTATCAAATTAACAAAAGTGGAGCAGCCCCACCTCATGCTGTAATATTGACATTCAACAAATCCACAACTGGAACCAGGGCAAAACAGGTGCTGTTTCAGAAAAGGGGGAAACATTTGGCAGACGCATGAGCAGCGAGCGAAGGAGAACACGTGCCGTGCAGAGAGAGAGTGTGTGTTTGTGTGTGTGTGTGTGTGTGCGTTCGGGCTGACCCATCACTGCAGCAGGGGCAAGTAGGAGTGTGTAGAAGTGTGGAATGTCCTTTTACCACTGCGGCTATGCTAACTGCGAAAAAATGTTTGTCAACAAATGATGTCTGGTCTATCATTGCTTAGTTCTACATCTCTACCAGTCTACAGTCCATAGATGTGTCTTGTTTTGTTTTGTCTTCAGAGCGCAGTGTGTAATTGCATTAGAGTTGTGTCCTGAGTTCCAAACAGACTCTTGTTGTAACCCAATTCCTTTCTCCAAGACCGAAATTAACCAAATACACTGTTCCTATACGTGACATGAACCTGATATTGAAATGATAATGCTGGGTCAATAACATAGAAGCAGGATGGCAACATAAAGTAGCCTCGGGACTATGGATGAAAACCAGCTTTATGTGCATTGCCCCTATCAAATAAATAGATAAATAAATAAATAAGTCGTGTCTGGGTGCATAGACAGCTAAGACCTCCTACTGTGCATCCTATGTGACCAAAAAGTATTCAATCCACTTCACTTTTCATGTCATGTATTTTCCTGTTTCCACTACTCATCCTTGAGATGTTTCAGACAACATTACTTGTAGTAAGTGTCATTGATTGAAGTTGATTGGCAAAGACAAACAATGAAGAACAGGTTCCACGGCTGACAGTGCAGTCAGTGGGTCATGTCTGTGGATCTGGGACAGATCTATGGAAAGCCAAGACATGTACAAGGAATGTTCCTGAGGGCCTCAAATCCATCTGTTGTAACTATTTCAAAACTGGTTCTAAACTAATGCATTACTTACTTACTAATACTGTAGCCACAGCTGCCCTCAGGCAGTATGTGCCATTGTCACCACCACCAAGCATTCACACACACATTCTAAGCAATGTGGATGAAGTGTCTTTCCTAAGTACACAGCAACCCTTTACTCTGGCATTCGCAGAGTTCTCCCATCACAGTACTAACCAGGCCCTGTCATGCTTAGCATCAGATGTCTGACGGAGTCTGGCTTTCACATGCAGGTGGCGCCAACAACACAAGCACTCAGTTATTCATGTACGTTATGAATGCTCTACGTCATTCATAAATGAAAGTCTGGAATCAACAGGACTTTTTCTGAAGCTGGACACTGGGCCAATCAGGCCAATAGTCATCAGGAAGAAGGATCTTACTCAGGCGGAAGGAGCTCTGACAGAGCTCCAGCGTTCCTGCAACCTGAGGCCTTTACTGGAGAGTGACTTTGTTTTCAAAAAACACCTAAAGAACTCAATCAAGATGAGAAAACGGATTTTCTGGTCTGACGAAACCAAGATTGAACTATTATTTGTCTGAATGCCAAACCGCTCATCAGCTGCAAATACAGTACCATCCCGAAGCTGAAGAATGACAGGGGCAGCATTGGGCTGTGTTGATGTTTTTCAGCATCAAGAACTGAGGGACGAGTCATGAACAGTGCAAGGTCCAGAGAGATCCTTAATGAAAACTTGCACCAGAGCAAAGTCCAGAGAGATAGAAGCACACAGGAAAGAAAATGAAGGAGAGACTGCAGGACAAGTCTGTGAAAGTCGGTGAGAGACCCAGACAACACCTGGTTGTCCATCTAACCTGACAGATCTTCTGCACAAGTGCTTCAGTTGCAGCGGAAGTCAGGCTGTAATTTTTGGATTTAAGCAGATTTGATTCTTTTCAGTCACATAGAACATATGCTGCCCCTGATGGTGTAGCTGCGTTACTGCGGTTAGACCTATTACTGGAGAGAGGACTGCTCGTCCATTTACTAATTTACTGTTAAAAAAGTATTTTCAAAATCTGGGAACATGTTGACTGTGAATCAGTCATGACAGTTTTATGAAATTGTCAGGAAAAATCCCATCTCTTGTCTTGTCTGAGACATACACTTGATATTTCATATATATATATAGATTCTGGATGCAGATTAGCTTCTGTTTGATCATCTTTCATACATCTGTGTATACCTGTCCACTCCTTCAGTCTACGCATAAATGGACTATAACTTTGTTGAGTGCGTGGTGCGTGTTGTTGTGCATGTCCCAACTGCCCCCGCTGGTGTCACTGTGTCGTTGCGGTCATGTCTGAGTGCATGCTGGCGGACTCACTCCCAGGGGGCGCTGCTGAGCTGGGATTGGCTGTGGCGGACAGAGACACGTGAGAGGGGGTAGAGAGAGTGTTTACGTCGTGCAGTTGACTGAGCACGGACGAGCGCCGCCTCACCGCGCCCTGAAACGAACCGCTGCGTTTGAACGTGCTCACTACCTCCATCTGCAGGACACACACAGAACAGCAGCACCAAGAGTCAGGCCATTCACACGCTTCAGCTCCTTCACTCTGCTCCGTGTTCCATTACTGTTAAAGTGCATATGGTATTTTTGCCATTTTTTTTATTTGGTGGATAGCCTCCCATTAAATGTAACAGCTTTGTCAATTTATGAGATAAGGTTGTAAAATATTATTCACTGAGAATCCATCCATTTATGCCATCAATAATAATATAAATGAATAATTATAATAATGAAAAAATGATATTAATTAAATAATAATAACAATAATTGATAGTAATAAAGTATACCGTATTCATATTATTACTATTATTGTTATCATTATTATTACTTCATTGTTCCTGTAGGAGCATTGGCCTTTGAGCCTGAAGGTCGTAGGTTCGAGCCCACCGTGAGACCTACTTCACGACTCCCACTGATGAGTGTTGTTGTGTCCTTGGGCAAGACACTTAACCCCACTTTTCCTGAAACCCCCGCTGAAAGATCTCAGCTCCTGTGGACTCACCACCTGCAGGAGGATCAGTGAGGGGCTGGTGCTGTGTACTGGGTGCAGTTCTGACTGCCACCCCCCCGACCCAGAAATGGATTAAGGGGAAGAAAATTGATGGATGGATATTCCTGAAGGGAGCATTGTCATTTTGGGCATACTTCCATTGTCTACTTTCCAAAATAAAGGTGTCGTAACTAGCTTTGGCTCTAGTTTAATTTGTAAATAACAAAGCCATTTTTTAATCTTGTCCATGTTTGTCTTAAATGCAGCCATCTTAACTATATTTTAGTGATATGGCTCATCATATGCACTTTACTTCCAACAGCTCACAGAACAGAATCTGTTTCGACCTGCGTAATACAAGAGTAAGTACATTGATATTATTACATTCGTCATTTTTCTCTCAGAAAAGCACAGCAGAAGAGTGAGGCACAGTTCAGCGGTTACATTGGATACATACCACAGAAGGCTGTTAAATTACATGATATTTATTTATGGAAAGAAACAGTGGGTTATTTGGCACGACAGACACAGAAGAAACAGAACAACATGATTACTCATATCACTTAGGGTACGTTTCTATTATCTCAAATGTACTTCCAAAATCTATTGTCAGTGTCAGTTTTTAAATCATTATTTTTTTCAACAGGACCACATAATGCATGTTGTTATCATTAGGCCTTATGGTAAATCTCTATTCTGACATTTATCTGTGTCAAAATATAATAACTATGTTTGAAATTGAATAGGTTTAATGTAGACAAAGTACTACATTATCATAGTAGTGCCTGATGTTGCAGCCGGTTATTCACGGGTCGGTACCGCAGTGTTATTATAAGGGCCGTGTACAAAAAAACCATTGTACTAGGCTGTCAACATCAATTATTTCAAATCCCAATAGTACTTTTTATCATTTATGATAGTTTTGATACAGATTAAATTCTGTACAACCAGAAAAGTGCTGTATTTGTCCTGGTATGAGATATTGTATATTGATACTTGCACAAATCTAATTTTGAATACTCTGCTTTGGACTAAAATAATAGTTTATTCATAGTGCCATGCTTGTTTGTATATCGTTGAGGCCCATCGTAGAACAAATATAACAGTATATATATTTTACTGAATGTGTCTGAATATGATTAAGGCCTGTTTTGGAATAGAGATAATAGTATATATATTTTACCTGTGTCTGAATGCGGTTGAGGCCTCTGAACCACAGGATCTGGCCTCTCCGCAGCTCTCTCTCTGCACAGTCGATCTCCTCTTCGTCCTCTGCCATCTCCTCTCCCTCATCCTCTCCAGGCTCCAGCCCCAGACCCGCCTCCTTCAGACAGGGCAGTCGCTCCGTGGGAACTGTGGCTATCAGCTGCAATCAAAGTGACAACTCAGTAAGTAACAGCAGAGGCAGGGATTAGGGCCCCAAACCCTGAGGCCCCAATCAACAGTCCAGACCATCTGCCAATATCACAATAAATAGCAGTAATTAAGTAGTGAACAAGAGAAAAATCAAATAATGTCAAAGCTATGCTCAGAGGGAAAAAGAAGAAATAATGAGGATAACCAAAAAAGATTGGAAAAAACAACAAATTATAAAAATATGATTTGGGGGAAAATAAATAATGATGATACAGTAAGTAAGTAATCTTTATTTATATACCGCCTTTTCACTGCAGATCTGAGTCTCAAAGCGGTTTACAATTGTTAATTTTGGGCATTTGTCTCTCACTCCACACAGAGATGGGAGCAGGGTCGCCAGTACAGGAGGCGCATGCCAGAACTATTGGACATATTTTTAGTGGTAGGGGAAACCGGAGTACCCAGAGGAAACCTACACAGACACGGGGAGAACATGCAAACTCCACTCAGAAAGGCCCTGGTCCGACCAGGATTCAAACCCAGGACCTTCTTGCTGAGAGGCGAGAGTGCTATCCACTCAGCCACTGTGCCGCCCACAGGAACAAAATGGCCCTGGTGAAAGTTCTCAAAACAGTTAGAGAAGGTGTGAGTGTTACTGAGCTATATGAGTTTACTTTTGAATGTAAGTCAAGAAGCAGAGTGACTAGGAGAACTACTTTGTACATGAACACTTCCCAATTGGGCTAGCGGGTTAGCATCGTCCAGGTTAGCATTGCTCATTAACATAGAGTCTAAAATTAGGAAAAATGTTGTAACATGGAGAAAAAAACATAAAAAACGTTGATTTTGCAATATATATCTCCTTTAGGAAGATACTCTTCCCATCTGCAGGGGCTCCCCCTAGAATGGCTGAATCACTGCTTTGCTCCCCTCTTAATGGACGACTCAGCACTTTCAAGAGCAAGTGACTGCAAATAAACATTTGTGCTCTTATGTCCTTGTCCCAGTGCTGTCTTTTACTCTCACCTGTCCCCAAAGCAGCTCTCCCACTCCCACAAACAGGCACCACAGCCACTGCTCCATGTTCAGAGGAGCACAGCTGAAGGGCTTCCCCCCGAACTGGACGATCACAATCTGCAATAGAACACAGACAAAACCTGTATCAGAAACAGCTTTTATTATAAGGATATTCATGTTCTTCACAAAGATCAGGCTTCTGCATGCAACCTTTACTATCAATAGAGACATTTGGCCCCCTTTTTTGCGGCTGCGACTTATATTACAGTGAAACCTACAGTGAAACCTATATGTGGACAAAATGTGGACGAAAACAACAAACATAATCAGCCACAAGCAGACAAAGTAATTCCTCTTTAATTCACCATGGCTTAGTAGATTAGTAGTAGAAGACTAACACACAGATTGTCAGTTTACTGGGGAGGCATAGTAAATTGAGCCCTATCACTTCTTTTCTTGACTGCCATCATTCAGCTGTAGTTTCCTTTTGATTGCTATTCACCTGCTGTCCAATTCTCTCGCGTCTTTTACCTATGGAATAGTCACCCCCGACCGGGACTCGTGGACTGAGTCCTGGATTTACAGCCTGTCCATCTGTGGAAGTGGATCCCTCACTTACTAGAGGCCTCCCCAAGATTCCTTGTATGTATTCAGGCAGTGCTTTTTGAATTGTTCCTTTACTCATACAGAAGGGTGTGAGGACATTGATTATGCACAAAACTTACATTTATGTTCATTTATTACCATTATGGATGCATTTCCTGTGTTAGAACTGTTTGATTCTCTGATCTGTTGTTGAGGAATGGACAACTTTGTAAAGTTCTCCGAGGCGACTGCGGTTGTAATTTAGGGCTATACAAAAATACATTGCCCTTTTTTAAAATTAATAATGTTTGTTTCGTGACCTGAACGGCGAAGGTGCCCAGGACGATAGAGCAGAAGATGGGGTTCCCAAAGATGCCGTCGAACACATTCCTCTCTCCGTGGATCTTTCTGGCGTTGATCTCATTGAACAGCTGCATGAGGACGAAGGTGTTGAAGATGATGGTGTAGTGTTCAGAGGGAGGCGAGTGCAGAGGGGCGTTTCTGCCACTGTCGATGTTGAAGATGCGCTCGCCTGGAACACACACAGGGGGCTATGATAGAGGCCTTTTACATCAGTTCAACTTTGTCTACACCTGTGTCAATATAATATGAAATAATGAACATACGTACTCTATATAGACAACATTTTGAGGATTTTTTTCTCCAAATTAAAACACTTCCAACATTAAAGGGCATGTAGCCATTTGTTTATTTCTTCAAATTATCAATAGCAAGAGCAAGCTGGAATGAGCCAACTCTGGATTCTCAGACAGAACACAGTAGGTGAACTCTTTATTACATGTGAATCTGATAACATCATCAGAAGAACACGCACTTTGAGGTAATGGAAGTAACGCAAGCAGTACATCAGTGCATCATTACTGCTGGTTACTGCATTTACGATTACCAACCCCAAATACTGAACAAGGACTTAAGTTCTAGAATACCACGGGATTCTTGGCCGTCTCAGAGCAACAGAAGAAACAGAAACTCCAAAGGCCTGGCTTCAATCTATCCAGGGCTAGCTTCAGCTTCATATAAACCAGGAGGATTGTCCCAAAGACACATCACAAATGCATGCGTCTGCAGAGGCCAACTTACAGTGCCTTGCGAAAGTATTCGGCCCCCTTGAACCTTTCAACATTTCGCCACGTTTCAGGCTTCAAACATAAAGATATAAAAATTAAATTTTTTGTCAAGAATCAACAACAAGTGGGACACAATCGTGAAGTGGAACGAAATGTATTGGATAATTTAAACATTTTTAAGAAATAAAAAACTGAAAAGTGGGGCGTGCAATATTATTCGGCCCCCTTGCGCTAATACTTTGTAGCCCCACCTTTTGCTGCAATTACAGCTGCAAGTCGCTTGGGGTATGTCTCCATCAGTTTTGCACATCCAGAGACTGGAATTCTTGCCCATTCTTCCTTGCAAAACAGCTCGAGGTCAGTGAGGTTGGATGGAGAGCGTTTGTGAACAGCAGTCTTCAGCTCTTTCCACAGATTCTCGATTGGATTCAGGTCTGGACTTTGACTTGGCCATTCTAACACCTGGATACGTCTATTTGTGAACCATTCCATTGTAGATTTGGCTTTATGTTTTGGATCATTGTCCTGTTGGAAGATAAATCTCCGTCCCAGTCTCAGGTCTTTTGCAGACTCCAACAGGTTTTCTTCCAGAATGGGCCTGTATTTGGCTCCATCCATCTTCCCATCAATTTTAGCCATCTTCCCTGTCCCTGCTGAAGAAAAGCAGGCCCAAACCATGATGCTGCCACCCCCATGTTTGACAGTGGGGATGGTGTGTTCAGGGTGATGAGCTGTGTTGCTTTTACGCCAAACATATCGTTTTGCATTGTGGCCAAAAAGTTTGATTTTGGTTTCATCTGACCAGAACACCTTCTTCCCCATGTTTGGTGTGTCTCCCAGGTGGCTTGTGGAAAACTTTAAACGAGACTTTTTATGGATATCTTTGAGAAATGGCTTTCTTCTTGCCACTCTTCCATAAAGGCCAGATTTGTGCAGTGCACGACTGATTGTTGTCCTATGGACAGACTCTCCCACCTCAGCTGTAGTTATCTGCAGTTCATCCAGAGTGATCATGGGCTTCTTGGCTGCATCTCTGATCAGTCTGCTCCTTGTTTGAGATGAAAGTTTGGAGGGACGGCCGGGTCTTGGTAGATTTGCAGTGGTCTGATACTCCTTCCATTTCAATAAAATTGCTTGCACAGTGCTCCTCCATCCATCCATCCATTTTCTACCCTTTAATCCATTTCTGGGTCAGGGGGGTGGCAATCAGAGATGCCACCCAAGTCTCATAGCACCAGCCCCTCACTGACCCTCTGCAGGTGGTGAGTCCACAGGAGGACGGCTGCTCTCTGAGTGTGAGCATAGCCTTGATCTTTCAGTGGGGGCTTTGGGCAAAGTGGTGTTAAGTGTCTTGCCCAAGGACACAACGACAGCAGTCATCAGTGGGAGTCGGTGGAGAAGGTGTCGAGGTGGGAAATGAACCCTCAACCTTCAGGCCTGAAGGCCAATGCTCTACCAACTGAGCTACTGTTGCCCCTGCACAGTGCTCCTTGAGATGTTTAAATCTTGGGAAATCTTTTTGTATCCAAATCCGGCTTTAAACTTCTCCACAACAGTATCTCGGACCTGCCTGGTGTGTTCCTTTGTCTTCATGGTTCTCTCTGAGCTTTAAACAGAACCCTGAGACTATCAAAGAGCAGGTGCATTTATACGGAGACTTGATTACACACAGGTGCATTCTATTTATCATCATCAGTCATTTAGGACAACATTGGATCATTCAAAGATCCTCACTGAACTTCTGGAGTGAGTTTGCTGCACTGAAAGTAAAGCGGCCGAATAATATTGCACGCCCCACTTTTCAGTTTTTTATTTGTTAAAAAAGTTTAAATTATCCAATAAATTTCGTTCCACTTCACGATTGTGTCCCACTTGTTGTTGATTCATAACAAAAAATTACAATTTTATATATTTATGTTTGAAGTCTGAAATGTGGCAAAATGTTGAAAGGTTCAAGGGGGCCGAATACTTTAGCAAGGATATGGTCTATACACACAGGACTATGTGGTTCCATATTCAAGATATAGCTCTGTTGCCATGATGCGTACGCAACTGTCGTTGTTTATAAACGCGTCTATTTACTAGCTAAAGCTGAATTTGGAGACACCCGATTGGTCAACCCCAACTCTAGGGGGGTTGGGGTAGGGGGGGATTTTTTAAATCTAAAAATGGTTATTAAAATTGTGAATGTGGCACAAACGGATACTAGCCTTTTCAGTGTAGTATGCGTTTGTGAGTTTCAACAGGTTTTCAATGAAAGTCAATGGGAGACGGAGTGAGTTGGAGCAAATCTTCACCATGCAAGTGCATTAGCACTATCTATCTACTCTATATACAGTCGATTACAGGGGTTAACAGGGGGATAACAGGGGCTGCCCATTGCAAAAACAGTGGGCAGCATATTGACATACCATCAAAACACACAGCCAACTAAGAACAATGTATGACTGATGGTTAGTACATTTAAGTGCACATAATCCACTGGACGTGTATTTAGGCGTATAATCTACAAAAATATGTTTTTATATGGATGAACTGTGTAAACTTGCAATAAAAGGTTATTTTGGGAAATCTGTGTTTGGCCCTTTGGATTTCACATTCTATATGGAATGTTGTACCAATCACAAATACATATTGGGAGAATGAGACAAGGTGCTGAGCTTTACAATGGTATATAGCAAGGGGTTATTGCCAGAGTTGAAGTTGGCTGGATGACACTGTGAACTTGTGTTTACGATCTCAATGTCGGCTTTTGCTCATGAAACCACACTGTGCCTTGTGCAGTGTGTCTTGTTTTATTTGCAGTTTGAGAGATGTGTTGAAGAACGCGCCAGACCTATGAAGAGCAAGGTGAAGATGATGACAAGCTGGTAGACCCCGTGGCCCAGGATGTTCTTCATCATGGTCAGGGAGATCAAAGGGTTGTTGCGGCCGTACGGTTTCCGTAGCAACAGCGCCTCCGTGGGGGGTTCTGTCGCCAACGCCAAAGACGCAAACGTGTCCATGATGAGGTTCACCCACAGCATCTGCACGGCTTTCAGAGGGGAGTCCTGGACAAAGGAAGACATGCATGATATGTGCTTACAAAGCAGACAAATACAGATTGTGATCAAAAATTTACTCTAATTGTAGTTGCTCCCAAACTGGTCTGATCACTTTAAGGTGCCACTCTCTCTTTCAAATGATAACTTTGTCTTATCACACACTTTGAAACAGTAATGGTAAATATAATCATATATAATGTATCAGCACACTTTTGACAAATCTAATCACACAACATCTTGTTATGAGCATTTGATTTTCCGCACAGGCTCAACTGCAGCAGCACAAGTCATTTCATTTCCTCAGCACAATCAAACACACCATGTTTTCTGCTGTTGCCTCACGTAACAACACCAAAAGAATGAAAGACATACAGAGTGACTGAGTGCTTCATCACAATGATCCAAACGAGGGAGTGTCCAATATGTATCCAAATTTGTAAAATCAACATGGCTTTTCCCCTTACTCTTGGATACAGCTGCTGGCCTTGTCTCAGTAGTATCTGGTTTACAAGGTTAAATGCAGTAAGAAATTGAGAAGAAATGGTTCAATCCATTTACACCAGACTAGTTTTTCACTAGTTTTTGTTCTGTATGTGTTCTATATTCTTTCTGTGTCTTAACTGTTGATTCTCCGATCTGTGTTGGTGATTTCAGTGGTTTTGTCCTCTGAGATGACTTCTGTTGTGATTTAGGGCTATACAAGAATAAATTGTATTGTAATTGTATTGTAACAAATGCATATTACTAAATACAAATTCATTTAAAACCCATAATTTAATCAAAAAATTGAGCCAATTATTTTAGCTTGTGTATGAATTGAGGCCATGCAAAGTGCTGAGTAGACACTGCGTGACACTAGTTCCAACCAATCCAGCAGAACAGCATGGCAGCCGAAAGTGGCAATACCTCCTCTGGCTGTAACTGCATACACAGCAAAACATCCCAAAAGATGCAAAAGTGAGGAGGAGAAAAGAGAACTAAAGTAATAAAATTATCAAAGAAGAAATCAAGCCCGGCTACATCCAAGCTTACATCTTATCCTCGCTGGAGAGACCTGCGAGTGCGGGACGGCCTTGGACTAAATTTGGATGCGAAACTAGCAATATTTTTTCTGTTATTATACCGTATATTTTGTTAGCAGTGCGTTGCTTTAGTACCATTTCATAGGTGATTGTTGTACAGCTTACGAGAAGTTGTACAAATGATAATGACTGCATACGTATCAGATTGCTACTAAAACTATATGGCTCCGTGGGAGTAGAACGTAGAGGAGAGTAGGAGGGTTTCTCTAAAGGAGAAGCCTGTGAGCGAGTTGGGGGGCGGTGCCAATCATTCAAACTGAAAAAACCTTGCAAAATTGGGTATAGCTTAGCCTGGCCTTAACCATCCATACACTCAGGTTAATAATCATTTCACTGCATGTAACATCTGGGTCTGGTCCCTGTGCTTACGATTACATCGGTAGAATTCCATCCGACCAATCAGCGAGCACGGGACGCGGGTGTTGTAGTTAGTTGTGGGTGACATCAAGAGTTTGCGCCGAAAGGGCTGGTTGTGGTTTGGCAATGGTGAAGAATGGGATAGTAAAGTATTCCGGTCTGGTTCTGTCAAGAAATTGAAGCCGGAGCAAGAGGAATGTTTAGCAAATGTCATTGCTGGCAAAAATTGTGGCGCTACTCCCCACGGGCTCCGTTAGCGGCAAAGATGGCTAGGCTAAATGCTAAATTCTAACGACTCACTCGGGCCGTCACGGTAAACTCAGATCCAATCGTTTCAATCTGCAAAAGGAGTTAACCCCTCCCACCTGTAAACGGAGCTCAATTGAGCACCTCCAGACCTTAGTACGAAATGTCATTTGTACTATGGTGTGGTACGACCAGGCTAGGTATAGCTCTTTTAAATCTCAATATAGATTAAAAGATGAGGTTCTGCTCAAACCGCTAAAGTTAATAATAAAGTTAGTAATCAGATTTTTAAATATGTATTTATTTCAACATTTTAGGGACAATGTGCAATTAATACTAGTATAATACTAATAATAATAATAAGGATAAAAATAATAACACATAGGTTTTATATAGTAGTAGTAAGTAAGTAATGCTTATTTATATAGCGCATTTTTACAATGGTCACCCGGTCACTTGTATATGAATTGTGCTATACAAATAAACTCTCTACTTTATTTACTCTGAAGGTTTCTTGATGATGGGACCTCTATGTGAGTGTGTGACCTTGCTAGAGTGTGGTGCATACATTTATGTGTGTGTGTGTGTGTGTGTGTGTGTGTGTGTGTGTGTGTGGATGTTTATGTGTAAACATCAGAGTGAGAGAAATGCAGAGAATGGCACTTCTGTCACAGTCGCTTAAAGTTTGATGACGCGACGAGTCCATCTGTCTGAACTCATCCGAGCCGACAACTCAAGCAATCTCTGCCTACCTTATTCCATACTTAGTCCTGTTTTAGTCCTGCCTTAGTGCTGTTTTAGTCCTGTTTTAGGGCTGTTTATTTGTGTTTTTGTTGTTGTCCTGATTTAGTTCTGCTTTTGAAAATTGTGCATATCAGAAACTGCTGTGTATAACTACTGCTGTAGTTATATTTCTTCCATGCACACGCTCACCTGTGTGATGCAGGCTCCAGTGAAGGCCACAATCACCGCCACCACGTTGACTGTGAGCTGAAACTGAAGGAACTTGGAGATAGAGTCGTAGACGTTTCTGCCCCACATCACAGCTTTGACGATGCTGGAGAAGTTATCATCGGTGAGGATGATGTCAGACGCCTCTTTGGCTACGTCTGTGCCCGCGATGCCCTGAGGACAGACCAAGGGCACATTTAATACACCGCACAAACAGCTTACATGGCTTCAGTTTGAAAACAGAGCATTTAGACAGAAGGGACAGGGGACACTTTTGTGTCGGTTTGTGCCAGAAGTTCCAGCTATTAGCATGGACAAACAAACAAACAAACACTAAAAACTGCATGTTTTCATAAGGGAACATTTGGAAAAAAGACACTTTTCTGTTGTAATAAGTCATCAAAAAAGTGAGTATCAAATGAGTCTGGGAGTTGTGAAGAGAAGTGGCCAGTGCGTGTGGAGCTGCTATGAAGCAGAGAATATTCAGCCCGTGTCATGGAGGCCTCCATGCCCTGGAGGCAGGGGGGAGGCTGAGGGGGTGAAGCGCTTCTGATTCATCCAGTGTTCCAGTCAGCAGATCACTCGTCCACACTGCTGCTGCACTTTCGAGTAGCGTCCAGTCAGCTCCGAGTCCAAATGTCATGCATGGCAAAACATATTTCTATTTGATTTCACAAGCTTTGACTTTTGGAATTTGTATTTCAAATTGTAGAAGGACAAAATAACTGCCAGTCAAGCTGCGTAGGTAGTCAGTTTGCTGGGAGAAGTATGGTAACTTGAGCACTATCCTTTCCTCCTTCCTACTATTCACCCGTTGTCCCATTGTCTGTTTCATGGCACGACAACGGGACCTCTGAACCGGCCCTCTCCATCTTCACCTGTGGACTGCCCTGCCCCCCTCCATCTTCACCTGCGGACTGCCCTGCCCCCCTCCATCTTCACCTGCGGACTGCCCTGCCCCCCTCCATCTTCACCTGCGGACTGCCCTGCCCCCCTCCATCTTCACCTGCGGACTGCCCTGCCCCCCTCCATCTTCACCTGTGGACTGCCCTGCCCGACCCGCCTGGGAGCGCTTCAGTCCTGCACCGGACCTGTCCATGCTCTGCGGCCGCTGCGTGGCATTGGTCCTCGTTCTGTAGCTTAGGTCCTGGATCATTAGCCCGTTCGTCCGTGTCGGAGCGGATCCCTCTCTCAATGTGGGTCTCCCCGAGGTTTCTCACTTTTTTCCCACTAGGTTATTGTGAGTTTTTCCTTGCCGATGCAGGAGGGTCTGTTGGGCAGTTAGTATCCAACTAGAAGGATTGTGGTGATGATCCAGGACACTTTAACATTCTACAACATGTATGGACATTTACCAACATGATGGACATTGGTGTCTCCCTATGGACCAATTCATATGTGTATGTTTTGTGTCTTAACTGTTGATTCTCTGATCTGTGTTGGCGATTTCAATGGTTTTGTTAAGTCCACTGAGATGACTTCTGTCGTGATTTAGGGCTATACAAGAACAAGTTGTTGTTGTTGTCCTCTCCCCATTGATTTAGCTAATCTCCTGCAGAATATCCTTGTTTTGGTATTTTGTTATTGGCCTTTTTGTTGTCTCCCCATATTGTGAGTTTGAAGTGACCATACAGACAACATTGACAATAGGCGGACAGAAAATCACAAGTATTTGTCATGGTGTGGACTTTTTGGATTATTTTAACCTGGTTTTATTTACTTTTAGTTCTCTTGTATTTTGAGTTTTCCTGATTCCAGTGTGTCCTGTTGATTGTTAGCCCCGCCCTAATGTGATCCACCTGTGTCTCCTGTGTGTGTATATATACCCTGTGCTTTTCCCCACTTGTTGTCCGTCCATTGTCTCTACCAAGTTTGTCTTGTCTAGTTTTTCAGTTCTGGATTTTTGTGCCTTTGTCTCTCTGGATTTCGATTTTTATTAAATTACATTTGATTTTCAGTCCTGCATTTTGGGTTCCCTTTTTCTTCATGCAACCACGTGACAGTATTGACCTTTATTTAACGAAAAAAGTCCCAGTGAGATTTCAGGTTCTTTTGTTCAGGAGAATCCTGGCCACAGAGGGGACTCTTTTGCATACTTTGTTGAGAAGCACACATCCTAACCGCAGCGCCCATAAATAGCAAATACCATTCAAATATAAAACCCCCTCAAAAACAAGTGTACAAGTGGACAAGCTGGTAGCAGCAGGGATGAAACGTTCTGTACGGCAGCATACAGCTTGTGATTAGGCCTTTGCTTTAAGTTAATTTAACTTCATTTATTCAGTTTCGCTCACAACCCTAAAGATGGTTTGGAGCACAAACATATCCCTACACAACACACTCGTCTTTGGGATAAAAAAGCTTGCGGGCTGATTTCAGATGAGCACCTGTTGTAGCATTCAGGACCCTGCACGCTGAAACGCACAAGTTGGTGTCCTCAAACAGACCAAGCAGGTAGTGGTGGAGCTCTGAAGGACACGTTGGTCCTGAAGACCTGGCCTTCCTGAGGCTCTGGTAGCGGTGGACTCCCTCAGAGCCACCACGTGCCGTTCCCGTAGCCGTGAGGCATCTTTACTCCTTATTTCACTGCCTTGAAGAAGCCACTTGCTATGCCACACATACGTACAGTATATCAAGACTGTGCAATGTCCAATAAGGGTTGTAGGTTTCACCGGAATTCAAACTGACAAATGAGCCATGACTTAGAAACAAGATTTAGAGGCCCAAGGTGGCATCAATAAGGGAGGACCTGCTCTGTTATGAAAAATGGAATCCTCTTAAGTGGAACTGACTCTCAATTCCAAGAAGTTTGTTGTTTTGGCCATATTTTGGAGATAATGAATGATAAAGTAAACCCTGAGAAGCCCTATCAAACAAACATGTCTTGCATTTCAAAATGATAACACAATTACATAACATAATATATTTTAGATTAAATATGTACATAATCTTAAAGTGGTTCTCACCCCCGCTCCTCGGAGCTTACGTCACTCACATTTCCTGTTCAAATCTTCCTCTAAATGGGCGTAGTCTGGAGGACTAAAGGGGGCGTGAACGAGACTGGGCCGTTTACATTGCTCTGGGCGGGGGGCTGCTGATGTCAGGTCTTGCTTCAGACGTCAGGTCTTGCTGCCGCTCCAGTGTTGGCGCCAGATTAAAAATTCAAATGTAGTAATACAGGTCGCCAGCAGATGGCGCCTCACAGACGGTTTTAGGCAGAAAGTTTAACTTTCAACTAATTTGCACCAAAGTGACAAAATTATGACCAGGATATGTAGACAACACTATTGGACACTCATTTATACTGTTTATCAGCAAAAAAAAGTGGATTTGAGGGTGAGTTGTCCTTTAAATGTGATATTACTGCAAGGTGGCCCAGGAATTTACAAGAGACATTTTACCAAGAAGTATGGGCAGCTTAACCATCAGAGCCGATAAAAAACCTCATCCACAACAACCACAAAAGACTCCATGCTGTTGTTAAATGTTAAAAGCACAAAACATGCAACTGAAAACTGGGGACCAGCGTCAGAAGAGGAGTTTCTAACGTCATTATCATTTGAAAACAGAACCTTCGCACAACCACAAAATCTCAGAAATATGGTAAAATCACTTCCTTTCTTTCCCTAGTGTGCAAACGTGAAAGCACATCTGTTGTGAAGTGAGTGGAGTGTTACCATAGCGAATCCCACATCAGCCTTTTTGAGAGCGGGGCCGTCGTTGGTTCCGTCTCCAGTGACAGCTACGACCTGCCGCTGCTCCAGGACGGTGCTGTCGATGATCCCTGAGCAGAAAACACACCAGAGTCATCAGAAACCACAGGGCGCTTCAAGTTGTAGCAGTTAATAAAACACTCACCTTTGACCAGCGTGTGCTTGTCTGTGGGGGAAGAACGCGCCAGCACCCGCAGTTTGGGCCAGATTTTGTCAATGCGCTCTTGTTCGATCTGTCCAACAAACACTACACATTATTATACTGTTGGGAAAGAAGTGTCTTGCCCGAGGACACTACAGCAGCATTCACCTGTGGGTCAGCAGAAATTCAATAACTGCCCCTGCTGCCCACCACTCCATTGTTATTCAGCAAGACTCCACACTCAGTGGTGAGTCACAGCCGCCCTGGGGCATACTGACTGATGCTGATCTTTCACACACACACACACACACACACACACACACACACACACACACACACACACACACACACACACACACACACACACACACACACACACACACACACACACACACACACACACACACACACACACACACACACACACACACACACACACACACACACACACACACACACAGGCATGCTCACACACACTCCCACGAGTACACACACATACATCCCTCCAGACCTGCCACTGATGCAGTCCACCTGCTCAAGTTTAGGTAGGGATCAGACCGAGCCAAGCCTGGTCTTACCAAACCATCGTACTAATTTCATTTCCTACTTAGGTCTTGATTTGCTCAACTGAGCTCCGTTAACAGGTGGGAGGGGTTGACTCCTTTTGCAGATTATCTGGAAGGGGAGAAATCCCAGCGGACGCTGAAAGGGCTCGCTTTTGGATGGGCTTGCTCTTGCTCCCTCACTTTCTCTGTTTTGTGTTTAAATTGAATTTTTCGACGCGGAAAAGATGTTGGTTGACCTCTCGAACAGTCCGGACAAAGAAAATAAGGTAAGCAATATGTAAAGTCTGCATAATTGGATACTAGCTACATTTTGAGCTGTCCCGGAGGTCTGTCCAAATCTCTCTAAATCAAATTTTCTTTGTTTTGTCTTTGTCATGTCTTATGTTGTAGAAAACAGGTTAGCTGTGTGGGTAACCAGTCCCTATAGGAAAAAAGAACCCCTTGACGTATCGGAGTCCCTGTCCTTTGAAGTAGTCAGGGCAGAGAAAGAGTAATTACAGGGTAGAGGCCCTTTTTTGAGTAATTACCGGGGTAGAGGCCCCTTGCTAGCCAGAGAAAAGTGTTGGATCCTAAGTGAAACCATGGTGTAAAATTAAAAGCAATTTTTAAAAAGGGAAACGTGTTAAGGAGGCCTTTTGTCACAAAAAGGCTTGATAAATGACAAAAGTAAAGAAGCAACAATATTTCAGTGATCACGGTTTAAATTACATACAGAAAAAGGGAGTTTTTGTTTTTGGCGTGAACAGAGTTCACCGGAGAATGCCGAGTTTTATCTAAAGTTGAGCTATGAGAGCTTTTGTGAGTTATTTACATTTTTTGCCGAGTTTTATCTACAGTTGAGCTATGAGAGGGTTGTATCCAACAGTTGTTTTTGTTTTTTAAAAAGAGATTTTGAGTTTAAATTAGTTTGCTACCTCGATAAAATAGAAGGAAACGTTAAAGACAAGAGTGCCTTTTGTTACAAGTGTGGAAAGTGATCATTTCTAGACTTGGATGACAAAAGTTTAAAGAACAACATCAGTTATATTAGCTTAAAAAAGTAATCTTGAAAGTTCTTCTTCTTTCTGTTTTTGCATTTTTGCTAAAACACTACTTTCTGCCTGTGTGTGTGCGCGTCTGTGTGAAAGGAACCCCCCGCCCTCCTGCTGCTGAGCTGCTGCTCTGATTTAAAGGGGAGCTACTGCTTTTAGGATTTTGGCTTTTCATAGTTGTTATTCAGTTAAATTTGCGAAAGTTGCCATTGAACATTGTGTTATGACACAGTTAAACGTTTTAAACACCATTTAGTAAAAAGAAGTTTTGAATTATTATTTTCTTGAAACCCAAGGATTAGTGCTAAAGCTGTGCAATTCTTTTAAGATCTAACATATTTCTAGATTCCGTAAGTCCAAAAGCCGTTTTTCAAACATTTAAATTAGAATCTGTGTTAAAAGTGATTATTGATTATAGACTTCGTCTAAAAAGAAAGAGGGAATTAGGATTAGCTGTAAAAGTATTATATTATTAAATTAAACTCTACCCAATTCACCCAATTCACATTGCAAGCGGTGACTTTTTTGTTTTGACAAAAAAGTCTTGCTGCTGCCCAGAGACAGGAGGAGGCAGCTCCGACGCACAATTGAGTTTTATTGAACCAAATCCAGTTTAGCTGGAGCTAAATCTTTTGTTTGATTTCAGGTTATGTTTTAATGTTTTCCAAAATAATTTCATTTCATGGCGTTTTTCAAGAAACCCAAGGACGCATAGATAATTAAACACACAGTACAAAAGTACATAATACATATTTTAAAGTTTGAAGGTTTTTTGAGATTTGAGTCTTGTTTCTGGTCTTAAAATGTCCTCATTAGTAAGATAATAAGTAATAAGTTTATTTACATAGCGCATGTGGGAAAGCCAAGAGCGCTCCAAAATTGTTTAGACTTTAGAGAGAAAAACAATCTCATTCACATACTGATATCTGTTGTTTTGAATTTGACTATAAGGTTGTGTTCCAGAACCAAGGGCACACACGGTACAGGGTCACTGGACTGCGGGAGTGGACACTGAGAGCTCAGACCACAGGAGCCCAGCGTAACGCCCACCCAGCACAGGTCACAGATCAAAGAGCAAAGGAAAATGCCACCTCCTTGCCCCTCCCCACGCCACTCCAGAGCTGAGTGGGTGTCAGAGAGAGACCGGGGTAGAGAGAGGTTTCTGGAGACGTGATGGGTGGAGCATCAGGGAGAGACCTGAATGAGAGTTGGGAGTGTGTCCATTTGGTTTACATCACCACAGTGTGACCTTTGACACCTAGGAGTCTGGTTCAAGGAGTCTGACACACACACACACATACATTCACACACTCATACATTCACATTTACATATAGATACATGAAAAAGCAGAACATGAGAAAAAAGCATTTTAAAAGTTTACTCCAATGTAAACAAATATTTGTAATTGTCTATCACTTGAATCAGTATTTTTTGAGACCAGAAATGTTCATTTGAATTCTATATAGTCATGGACTTAATTGACCTCTGTCTTGACATTTTTTGTTTTGATTTGTTGATTTTGTGCTGTGTGAAGTAATTACATTGATTCTGATAAAAACACAAATTAGAGAAGTAAACTGAATCATTGCGTTTGCTTTTGTCTGAGGGACATTAGCAACAGCATGAATAGAAATTGTCTTTAAAGAAGAATCAAAATGACTTTACCATAGAAAGTAACTACTGCATAACAAGCTGTGTACAGGAACTGTGACACTGCACCATTGACCAGAAGTGCATCGCAAATGACCTGATGTGCTTCAAGTGAAAAGACTGTATCTGGAGATCCGATGTCCAACTGGAGAGACCAAATCCATGGCTTGGACCCTACTGATGTCCAACATGACATCTCTCGAAATATAACCTGACCTGATGACGACTGAGACTCACCCTCAGGGGACCCTGAGGACCTGAGGATCTGAGAGAGAAAAACCGGGGAGTGATGTTTATATTTTTTAAATCATACATTGATGAGTGCTAAATGAGAGAGATGCTCATGATTCTTTCTTTTGTTTTTGTTTGTCCCTAGCTTCTGGACATCTGATGATCTATTGGACACAGACATTTGCAGAACAAGAACCAGCCAATGAAAAATCATCTATTGCCGATGCTATTGCTACAACCAGAACCACAACTGTGACAAATGCAATAAATGTAACGTATTCAGACATCAGACAGACAAAAACTTTGACTTTTTAGTCTGGGAGACTGAGCAACTGTTAAAATGTTTTAAAATGATAAAGTATGAGTATTGTAGCGTTTTAGTAGATGTTGAAAGTGACAGAAGTCACAAACTAGAAATATGCCTTGACTCAAGCTGCAACCGAGCTTTAGAGTCACAATAGAGTAAAAATAGAAATAGATAAAGGCATCGACCATAGATGCTTTCAAAAATAGAGAATATTTCTAGCCATTGCTAATATTTGAATTGTAAAAGGAGCATTTCCTTCAATTCTGTCTGAGAGAAGGAAACAATGGAAACCACTGGAACTTGAGAGAAACTTAAATAAACTTCCAGAGTTTGGCGCACCACGATCCGTCTCTGTCTGCTTCATCCCTGACACCACTAATGGAGCCCGTGGGGAGTATAGCCACAACATCTTTGCCAGAAATGAAATTTGCCAAACATTCCTCTTGCTACGGCTTCAATTTCTTGATATTTGGGAGACGAACCAGAACAGAATACTATACTATTGCATTCGGCACATAGCAATATGGTGATCAGAATGGCTTATAATGATGTGTGATTGTATTATTGTTTGTAAGAGGAGTCCAGGCGGGGATAGTCGTGGAGCTCCACACCCAGCCTCTCCTGTCCCACACTCTATGCTCTCTGACAACACTCTCTGACCATACACTCTGCTTTCTGACCTCCCCCTTCTCGTTGCGGATACGCCTGTTGAAGTCCTTCCCCTCAAGGCAGATGAAGTCGTCCCCTGGGTGGATGATTCCACACTTGGCGGCGATGGCTCGGGCTGTGTTGATGTTGTCTCCGGTCACCATCCGCACTGTGATGCCTGCACGCTGACACTTCCGAATGGCATCTGGAACCTGCACACACACACACACACACACACACACACACACACACACACACACACACACACACACACACACACACACACACACACACACACACACACACACACACACACACACACACACACACACACACACGCGCGCACGCACGCACGCACGCACGCACGCACGCACGCACGCACACACACACAGATGGATTTAGAACTGGCTTCATTGCTGGGCTTGAAATAGATTTCCAGTTTTACTTAAAAAAAAAGTTACATTGTTGAATTACTTCCAAAGGGGATGTATTACCGTAACTAGTTGCTTTTGTAATGTTTGTATTAATATGGGGATCAACCCCCAAGGGGGCCCAAAAGATAGTCACAACCTTGAAGCATGAACTGTCATAAATCTATATAGAAAAGTTTCGGAGTGTGTGTTGGTTTGGCTGGGTGTTTACCCACTGTGTTTCTGATATGAGCTGCTGTTTGTCTGGGGGCTTGATGTCTGTAAATTAGCGTTGTTTCCGATGACCCAATGTGACGTTCCTACAATTGTAACACAGTGTCTTTGCTGTGGTCACCTCAGGTCTGACCGGGTCTTCTATTCCCACTATAGTGATGCAGGTCAGCTCGGTCACAATGTCGGCCTCGTTGTCCCACTCGGGCTCTGGGTTTGACGACAGGTCTCTGTAGGCAATGCATATGGTTCTGAGGCCCTCACAGGCCATGGGCTCAATCACCTGAAACACAATACAGGGACTAATACACAACTCTAAGGATTGATAGAGAAGATGTTTTGCCCTCACACTGTTACAAACATAAATAATTCAATTTTATAATTTTATGACTATGATCCAGTAATCATTGTTCTCAATGTTTTTTTAAGGTTTTTATAAAAGTAAGAAGATTCAAATTCAGATTCAGATTCATTTATTTGCCATTTGCAGTAAAACCACATTGGAATTCATTAGCAAAAGTCCCCAGTGTGCACAAGTACAGATATAAAACAACATTAAAAGAAGTCCTATGTTCTGTATTCATTAAAACTGGTAGCGCACCTGTTTGACCATCTCGTCTCGGTCTCGCGGTCTGAAAGTGCGCGCCTCTCCGTTTGGATCCAGGATAAAAGAACATCTGCACAGAACAACAGCAGTGTTACCAAAATATTGTGCCGCCATCATCGTGAGAATATTTGTTTTTATTATTTACTCTTTGATAAAGGTGTTCCTTTATATTTTTATTTTGTCTATTTTGTCCCTGGAATAAGATGATGTGGCTATTTACTTTGAGATTGTATGATGTTGAATCAAAAACGTATAATTTAAAAATACATATAGGGATAAATATGTGTGAAGCGTGTAAATCAGCATGTAAGTTTAGGTACGCGCACAGAGACAGACGGGTACAGCTGCGGTCCCGCGGATCACAAAGCAAACTGTATCAAAGCGATGCTCTGAACTATATCATGGATCTATAATAATAACATGGATCTATAATAATAACATGGATCTATAATAATAACATGGATCTATAATAATAACATGGATCCACGCGTCTGAAGCCTCAGTGAACGCCACAAGCTGCGGCCGTTTCAGGAGCGAACGTCACCACACACGGCACCAACACACGCTTTAAAAACTCTGAATGACTCGCACACGCTTCGGAGCTTCCTCACGTTCAGCACAAACTTGCGCCCGGGTGTTTAATGTTGTTTTTTTTCATTGTGGCGCGGCTTTGCCCAACAGCGACTTAACAACAACTATCGTAATGCATCATGGGATCACCCTCGGTCTGAGTGGCTGAGTGGATAGCACACCGGCACGGTGGCTGAGTGGATAGCACTCTCGCCTCTCAGCAAGAAGGTCCTGGGTTCGAATCCCGGTCGGACCAGGGCCTTTCTGAGTGGAGTTTGCATGTTCTCCCCGTGTCTGTGTAGGTTTCCTCCGAGTACTCCGGTTTCCCCTACCACTAAAAATATGTCCAATAGTTCTAGCATGCGCCTCCTGTACTGGCGACCGCGCTCCCATCTCTATGTGGAGTGAGAGACAATTGCCCAAAAATTAACAATTGTAAACCGCTTTGAGACTCAGATCTGCAGTGAAAAGGCGGTATATAAATAAAAGATTACTAAAAAAGATTACTCGGTCGCAAGTGAGCTCCGGACCTCACTAGCGCTCAACGGTGGTTTTTAACCCTCTATGCACATGGGTCATTTTGGGGAACTTTCCTCGGCTGGTTTTCTTTGTGTATAATTGTTCATAAAACAGTCATCTTTTGATGCAGAGTCAAGCAGTATACTTTGTTTTTTTCAGTACAACCTGGGGTTTTAGAATATTCATATTGTAAAGCTGTCATATGAATTATATAAAAAATATGGAATCATGAAGACAAAGAAAAAAATCAAACGGAAAATCAATTTAACAAAAATGTATTGAAAAAACACAATGAAATGCTATAAACAACTTTTTACACTGCATAGAAATGTTATTTAGGGACTTGGGGATAATGGGGAAAAAATTGAATCTCTAACTATTATACTTTTTACAAAATTCCACTATAAAAGCAAAAAACTCTGTACTCCTGATGCCCTTCCTGAAGCAGTTTGTCTATAATGCTGGGGTTGCATCTGTAGCACAGCTGTAAAAAACGTAAAACATAAGAAACTGAGCCAAAAAAAAAAACATCAATTATTTATATAATACATATATTTATATACATCATATACACATAATGTCATTTTACTGTATTTATTATCGTCTTTATCAATAATGCGCACTCTTCTGCCGGTTATTGCAATCGCAGCTGTAGTTTCAACTGTGGGACAACAAGTAAACGCAGAGGAGTGAGACATCTCACTCTCTGACGATCTTTGGCAGTCCCCGTGTGTTTGTATCTCACAGCTGTTTGTACCTCACGGGTCACGCTTTCGACACGGACTTTCAGACAAACGTAGTTTATCCTCCGTGCATCGCACAGACAATTCAAAACTAGTTTCGGAAAGCCCTGAATACGTACTTCACAGAGGAAAAAAAGTAAGTTGCTACGTTTTACCGTTCGCGAGTAAATTGATCATTTGTAAAACATGTGCGCATGCATCAGCGCCGATGCAGACAGGTTCATAGGGTTAAGGGTGTGAAGGCCCTCGCCTCTTCTCCCTAAGTATTGAGACACCCTACAACCCCCGCGGGCACACGCAAAATCTAGGGCAAGGGTGCTTTTTAAGGGCAAGGGTGAGAATTGGGACGGGGCCTAAATGACTCGAGATATCAGGGAGGTCATCTTCTCCACTGGCCGCTGAGCTTTCCTTCTGCTGTTCCAGAAGAACAGATCCAACAAGAAGCAGGGTATGTTTGTCTCTGATATCAACGGAGATGGAGCTAATAACAACTTCTGGAATTATCCTGTAAAATGGTTACAACCTGAACATTTTGCATCATACATATCCTGAATAAAACTGACTTTTTGAGCATGATCTCAGAGGCTCCTTTGCTGTAGAGGCGGAACGTCCCGTCGGACAGTTTGATGACGGTGCTCATGGACTTCCGCACAGAGTTAAATGTGTAAACCTGTGGATGGAAAAACAGAGGTCACATAGTCAGGCAGATGAAGGGCCTCTCGTCCATGTGTTTTTAAAACATTAGTTTGAATCTTCATGGATATAATAGCTATATATGAATAGCATCACTAGTGATGGAAGCAGGCTGTTTTGAGGGGAAGCATTGCATAGTACTTCATATTATGCAGTCTGAAAAGCAGGAATCCCTGCTTTTTGGTGTTAAAGTTGTGAAAAGACACTTCATTTAGACATGAACAATGTGTAAGAAGAAAATCAATTAGCTATACATGTGTTTGATAAATTAAAACTGTAAAAATCAGGTCCAGGCCTTTTAATATAACTCTATTGGAATACTGGTGCGTGAATGTGGTACCTTGTAGAGTTTCTCCTCTGGGACCTGCTCTCTCACTGGGGCGTAGTCTTGTCTGAGGTCCAGCACAAATCCCAGGAGGCCACACTCAGTCTTGTTTCCCACCTGTTTGGCTAACCCTCCCTCCACATCAGGCGGCTGAGAGCAGAGAGCCAAAAGGGGTTAAACATACTCATACAAGACAGAAACATACAACAATAAACAAGCTTCAATGATAATTTCCCCAGATGAGCCTCAGTAGTGCAGGATATGACTCCTGATGAGACCACAGAGGCTCTCCTGATTGACATGATGCTCTGATTCAGGCCTACGGACTGTCCAGGGGACTGTGTCAGAGCATCAGTCTGGACAGTCCGTAGGCCTGAATCAGAGTATCATGTGCATGCCTTCCCAATCAGATACTGACTCCATGAGGATGGTCTGAGGTTGGGCTTGTGTTCACAATCCAACACTGTCCAGCCAGATTGGCATTTGTCAGAGAACATATAAATTAGCAGATTCTCTGTGCTCTTCAGGGACGAGAGCAGGTTCACCTTGAGCCAACGTGACAAAGTCTGGAGTCTGGTGGGGAACCTTCTTCTGCCTGCACCATCCTCAACAACATAACCATTTGGCTAGACTGCTTTCACATGTGGAGGGTCTGGCTGGTCAGGCTAATTACGTTCCGGTATGAGATCCTCAGACCCAGTGTGAGACCATATACTAGTGCCGTGGGCTTGGGGTGCCTTTGATGCATGATGATACAAGGCCTCCTGTGGTGAGTGTGTCAGCAGGTCCTCCATGATGAAGACATTGACTGGCCTGCTTGGTTCTTAGACCTGAATCCAATGAGCACATATGGGAAGTCTCGCTCCATTCAACATCCTGTCGCATCACAGCCTGTACAGAAGCGGACTGATACTCTGATTCAGGTCCGGAGGATATCCCTCAGGAGAGAATTAATTGCCTCATTAGGAGAACTAGACCAGATAAAGTAGGACATTTATTTAACACTTATGGACATTGGTCATCTGCTCCTTATGGACCATGATTTCTGCTAAATTGTTTGAACTCTTTGATTCTCTGATCTGTGTTGACGAAATCAACAGTTGTGTAAGCCCTCCAAGATAACTACTGTTGTAATTTAGGGCTATACAAGAATAAACTGAATTGAACTAGGACTAAACTAGGACTAAACCAGGGCTGAAAATGAAGGAAATGTTGATTGTGGCCGTATGATTTCAGCCTGAGTTTACAATCTACCTAGCCTGACTCTCGCCAGACCCATATAGTTCGCTGCACTGCACACATGCGTCTGGGCCTCCTCCATAGCAGTTGGATTTCAGAAGGCAGGGCCTTCTAAAAAAAAATTCTTGTATGTGATTGGATAAATCACTTGTCCGTTATCTTGAATGACATCTTCCTTCAACCACTCACATCGAAGCACACGACTCCCATGGGTTGCCAAATGCCGGCAAGATTTTCCAGCCCAAAACCCTCGAGAATGCCCAAAAAAACACCCAGAATTATTTTTTGGGCTAAAAACGTTATGTAATCAACTGGGGATATCATGGTTCTGTTTATTGTCTTTCTGTTTATTTATTACCTACAAGTCCCTTGGAAAAGAGTATGCAGGAAACCACCCAACCTGGCAACCCTGCTGCATAGTGTTGTATACAGGAACACCTAAACCAGTGCTTAAACCACACTTTACACGAACGTTTGGCTCTTAAAACACACATATAACAACATGATACCATCAACATCTCGCCTCATATTGCATCAAAAGTGACCTCCGTGTCTTAATTTGTTCGTATTGAAACTTTTAAAAAAATTCACGGACCCTACGTCCACCATCTTGGATTGCTTTCGCTGCAGTGTGAGACATGCTTGAGAAGGCGGTGCAAACCCAACGTAACACCGGTGATCCTGATTGGTCGATTATTTTCTTATCTGCTGAAGTAGTTTGCTATGCGCTCGATATCAGACCCATGTGGTTCAGCCAAACGCCTCTGGTGGAGTATGGCGGAACTACAAGGGTCTCGCAAGAGTCAGGCTACGATCTACCAGGACTGACCAGGATCTTGGAAGTGTACGCGCTGTTGATGGAGATGGCGTGAACCAAAAGATCTAGAGTTTTTGAGTTGATCTGCGTCGGTTCAGGCATCTGTCTGTGGTGAACATCTCCTGCAGAAGAAGACAGAGGTAGTGTTAGACAGCGCACACTTCCTCCATCTCCTCGAGGGGAATCCTGAGGTGTTCCTAGGCACAGAAACTTTCATTGTTGTGATATTAGGAATACAGGAGAAAATATGTTGTTCCTTATAATAAAAAAGTTGCATCAGTAACTCACCATATTACAGATGCACACCAAAATAACACCATAAGTAACACTATTATACTCGATACTCAAACACTGCTCATGACCATATAGGTTGGAACGTAGCCTGGACAGTAAATCCAAAGCTTTGACTGCTCCCTCTCCACAACAGTTTGATACAGCGACTGCATATGGTCTGTGCACAAGCTGCACAGACCATATGTAAATCTCCCGCTCCATGTATCACTGACTGAGGGACCCTGAAACCCTGAGTGTCATGTGTGAGCAGAGTGGACGGACTTACCAATAAAGGCCTGAACCACTGTCATGCGGTTAGTGGTCAGAGTTCCTGTTTTGTCCGAACAGATCGCCGTGGCGTTTCCCATCGTCTCACAGGCGTCTAAGTGTCGCACCAGGTTATTATCCTTCATCATTTTCTGTAGCAGAGAAAAAGAATGTGTCTTGTCAACAGGAACGTGTTCTACAATACTCCCAGAGTTTCCCTTCTCAGTTCCCACTGAAGTAGTTTTAGTGATTTGTTTAATTTTGAGTATGCTTTATTCTGCTGGCGAAACAGGGATTGTTGGAGCAATGGGTTCTGAACGCAGAAGAAAAAAGATGAATGCATTAGTCACTATCCTACTCTAGTAAGTAAGTAAGTAAGCTTTATATCCATTTAATATTGTTGAATATAAGTGAATTTAGCTCTGCAATTCAACATCAAATGTGACGTGAATAAAGTGGCATATACCAAGCCTTTGTTTGTTATAGTTTGGATGATTATGTTTTGCAGATTGATGACGTCACCCTAGTGTTTGACTTAATGTTGAAGAAGCTGATTAGAGCTAGCTTGACCAGGCTATTTGCGCAAGAATGTGTAGACAAATGTATGCAAATATAGTGATTTACCAAGAGCCAATAAGGACTGGCGCTACTCTGTACTCGTTGTTAAAGACCAAATCGGGAGGCTCCAAATTGGTCAGTTCTTAGACATTATCACATATGGAGGATGATCACAGAGAGCGCTGACCATGATTTTTAAAGCTGAAGCCTGTAACTTCAATGTAATTACATTTATAAAATAATACATATTTTTGACCGTATGACTCTTTAGTATCATCCATATTAACAATTCTTCATAAAATAAATATATTTGAAACAGTCCCTCCATTTGGCTAGAGGAGAGGTTTTAGACCAGAAGGGTCCTCAGCTGTCTATAAAGGATTTTAAAATAAAGTTTTAAATAAAGTGAGGTAATGCAGCTTTAAACCCGCCCCCACAGCTTCCTTTTTGGGGGGGCGATAGCTCCGTGAGTGCGGGGAGGGCGAGCACAAAGAGCGAGGCCAGCGCTCACATTCGAAAATTTCACAAAGTGAGTTAGTGCAGCTTTAACTGGTGTTTGCAAAAATGATGAGTGTGACACAAACAGTTACTGAGTAAGATAAGTTAACTTTTCAATGTATGTCAATATGCGCCAAAGCAAGTTGAAGCAAAACTTCTCTATTGGGCTTCCATGAGCTATGGGGTTAGCTCATCGATCTATTATAAAATCTGGACAGGGTACAACCAGCTTAGAGCTGTCCCACCCCAAAAATGTCCCAAAGAAGTCAATGTAAACTAAAACAGCTTGACCTCAGCTGACAGAGAACCTACAGCTTTCATAAAAATCGGATTTTGTGGTGTCCCTTCACATCCTTGGGTTTTTTATAAATCCATACTTGACTGCCACAAACTCTGCTCGTTTGTCTCCCGCTCTGGCGCTGCTCTGATCTGCAGCCACTGAATAGTCAAAACGCGGCCGTTCCCCTCTGTACACGTGCATAAGAGCCACACACACGTGTATTTGGCGCAAAGCATCATGGGATCTCGTCCACTGCGCAGAACCGGGAGAACCAGAAGATGCCCAAATATGTAAAAGTAAATGTAAATGTGCACTTTCTTGTCTCTGGAGGGAAATTTGTCCTCTGCATTTGACCCATCCTGATGCCACTAAGGCTTACGTCAGGAGCGGTGGTCGGCGTATTACAGCGCCTGGGAACCCATCTCCATATGTTGATCCTCGGCTTGGTCAGGACTACCGCAACTGGAGGATTTTACCTATTGAGCATATTTTAAGTGGTAGGGGGAAACCGAAGCATCCAGAGAAAACCTACGCAGACACGGGGAGTTAACTCCTCTTACTCAAGGCCCTGTTCCACGGTGAACGAGTTCCATTCATATTTTGGTGCCCATGACTGTCCCATGCACCACTGAGCACACGCCATTGATTTGAATAGACCGCCATCTTGGATCACCAGGGCTTGGGTTAACATTGTCCATCTAGATACACCCTATGATTTTACCTTGACAGAATAGGCGAGGGAAATGGTAACGGCGAGTGGGAGGCCTTCAGGCACGGCTACCACCAGGACTGTGACTCCGATGATGAAGAACTTGACAAAGTACTGGACATAAACAGGAGTGCACTCTGCCATCCACGTCCGACCTGCAACACAGCATGGGAGGGATGGGAGTCTATGGAAGTGCTGTGCAAAGATCATCCCCACCACTTTTTTGTCAATAAAAAAAAAAAAAATCATCCCCACCAGAAATACAATGGGTAGGACGGCAATTATAATTATCATTTTTTAAATAAAACCTTATCAAGATTATAAAAATGAGACTATTGCTCCTTTCTACAACTGTTCAAGTAATAACTAAAATGTTGAGAAGAAATGCACACATCGAACAGGTCTACAGGTGAAACTGGGGGAATTAGAATATAGGTCAAAAGTCCATTTACTTTTGTAATTCCATATACTTCTTACAATGCGCAACTAATAAAATATGGCAGACTGGCAATGAGTCTGTCATGTTTATATAACAAGTGTTTAATAATTGTTATAATACTGAAAATTGGCTCACAGCTTGTAAAAACATCTAAAATATACATCTCAACATTTTACGACTGTCATATCATGTTTAGATGGTTTCAAATTGTTAATTAGATTACAGAAACAAATTCATTTTTGAATGGTATCCTATTTTTTTGAGTTTCACCTGTACAGCGGTACATTCAATTAATCCAATTCAATAATTATCGTTTCATAAATAAACTTACACACTAAACCGGGTAGAAAACATTTCACTTCATGGATGCTATGATTTCCTTACCTGATCCATGCTTTCATATCCTTCAGACTCCACTTCTGCAACAGTATTTATACGGCCTTCCTTCATCTGATCTCCAAAAACTGCAATGTGTCCAAAACTCTGCCGCCCGCCTCATCACTCGGACCGGCTCCAGAGAACACATCACCCCTGTCCTCCATAAACTCCACTGGCTCCCATCAAACAGCGCATCCATTTCAAAATCCTCCTCATCACCTACAAAGCCCTCCATGACCTCGCTCCTCCTTTACTCACTGACCTTCTGCAGCCCTACAGTCCCTCCCCTCGACTCCGATCTGCAGACTCACATCTCCCCACTCCCACCGTCAAATCCAAGCACCGAACCTTGGGGGACCGAGCTTTCGCCATCTCTGCTCCCACTCTCTGGAACTCTCTCCCCCCTCATCTCAGAAACTCTGACTCACTAAACCCCTTCAAAAAAACAGCTTAAAACTCACCTCTTCCTCCAAGCATATGACTCTTAGTTTCAACTTTATACTCTTCTTTCCTGCTTTTAGATTTCTAGTTTTGTGTGTCTGTCTAAACGTGTGTGTGTCCTCAATTGTGAAGCGTCTTTGAGTTTTTGAAAAGCACTAAAAACCGATGTATTATTATTATTATTACCTCTTATCAGGAAGTAGCATTGTAAACTTTCAGGCAATGTCCAAAGACAAAGCTGGGGTATCTATTTTTCAAACTCGAAAAAATAAACCATGTAATACAGTCCATATAGTTCAGTTTTCACATGCATGTAATGACTTACAGTGCTCTTTCTTGGAAGTTTGCAAAAGATAACATGTTTCTTTTAAGAGTATGTGGTCTCATTTGTTCACATTTTACTTGTGCTTTCTGCTATAAAAAAATGAGGTTTTCTGAGTGGATCATGTTCTCGATGGAGACCAGAGGAGAGTGCTGTCAGAGTGATCAAACGTCCACTAACCTTCGATGACAAACGTGTCGATGACAAAGTAAAGTACAAGTATGATGACGGTGATCGCCGACATCACCAAACCTGTACACACACACACAAACACACATACATACAAACTGAAATTACTATACAACATTTGCATTTACAAGAAAAGATTGTCAGATGGCCCGAGTGTGTGAAGGAAACATCGTTGTCGTGGTGCAAACGTGTGACACCAACATGATATTTTAAGGCTATCTTTTCCATAAACATAATAAACTCTACAGACATTTTGTGCTTGAATTGAGTTTTAAAGTTCTACAAGTTCTACACACTGACTGAAAACCGAACCGTGTGACTCTGAGGGAGTGGGCAATGGGGCTTTGTGACCGTGAGAGAAGGGGGCACTATCACTTTGGGGCCCCCGAGGAGAGTGAGGGGGGACACTTGATTGTTCTATAACAGGGGTCTCAAACCGGTTCCAGAAAGGGCCATGTGGCTGCTCGTTTTACTAACAGTTCCAAAATGAGTAGGAGCACAGATGACTCCACCCATTTCCTCAAATCTTCAGGTTTAAACTGGACTCACCTGAGGAAATGGGTAACTGTCGGAAGTAAAACCTGCAGCCACATGGCCCTTTCTGGAACCAGTTTGAGACCCCTGTTCAATAATGTCTGTTTATGTCCGTAAAAACTGCTGTTTTGTTCTTCTGCCGAGGGACAACAGATGGAAACTGTCCTTTTTGTCATAATCTGGCATTTTACACAGTATTTGCAGATGTTCATTAATGTGCATGGCCCCTCCTATATAAATAAATACAAAAGTCTTCTTTATTAATATAGCAGATTTCACAGAGAGTCTGCTCATAATTCTTGGCTCCAGCGCGGTGCCTGCACGATCAGGCCCTCAATAGTGCTGCTTTCTCCTTTTTAAATTGGTCCCTGTAATAAAGATATTTGAGAGCATTTATGTTTAAGCACTTTGACAATAACCCTGTTTTAGTCGGAATCCTTGCGGTCACTATCCTTATAAGAATATCTCTCCAGTCACTAACTGTAAAGGTGCTTCAGCACTGTCCGACCATATTTGATCACATAAAACCATTTATGCTTTTGCTTATTGTTAACGTGTAACGTGTGGTTTCACTTTCTCCCAATAGGTGTGTGTCAGGGCTGGACTGGCCATCGGGCGTACCGGGCAATGCCCGAAGGGCCGATGCCCATATTTGGGCCGGTCTGTCTGCCTCATCCAAAAACATGTTTGTGAAAAGTGTAAATCCGTTGAGAATTGTTCGAGGGGGGCGTGCGTGTCCGCGGGCTCCTGCTGTATGTACTCGAACGGGATTCCGCCACCTCAGCGGCCGCAGTGTTCCCGGGCTGCTGTGGACGCTTTGTAATGAGCGGTTCCCGCATCCAGCGGCTCTGAGCTGGATGCGGGAACCGCTCACAACACAACACGGTGAGCGCGTAGCCGCAACGTGACCATATACCCAAGACCATAAACGCGCACAGGACCATGCGTGTCTTAGCGTAGTCTGTGGACCCAATAAATACACCGCTGCAGTAAACAGTCCGCGTCTCCCCTCTCCTCTCGAAGCGCGACTAAATTAAAGCTTGGGTACCTACATTTTCCATTGCATCAAAAGTTCATGTTTGAGCCCAAAAGTAAAATGTTGTGAACAAATCAAACAGATTTAGTGACAGCCAATGGCTGACACTATGCATTTCAGACTTTTTTTGACCAATTCTCATCCCTGTAACAAACAATAGTGTTGTCTGTGTCCACCTCCCTCACTCTGAGACATGTTTATCACTCTCTTTAATGCAGACTATTGCGTTTTATTTTATTGTTGAAACTACAGACATCCTGATCCTCTGCAGTATTTGCTTCCACATACTGTATAAACCAGGGGTCGGCAGCCTGCGGCTCTTTGTAGCTCCTCCAGTGGCTCCTGGAGCCTTTTAAAAAATGTCTGAAAATGGAGTGGGAGGGCTATATTTTATTTCTAGTTTGAATGTGGTTTCTGTAGGAGGAAAAAACATTCTTGATGTTTTAAATGCTGTGCATAAGTATTATTCAATTTCAAAATTTCTGTCTACGTAGTGCGTCATATCCGGTGACGCGGCCCCGTGCCAGGCGGCGGCTGTGGTAAACAAACCGGCGTGTGTGCGCACGGATCCCAAAGATAAAGAGAGAAAGAGTCTATAAGACTGGACTAAGAATCAGAATGAACTTTTGCTTTCAGTCAATAAGGAAAGACTGCCTCATGTTTGTAACGAGAAGTTTTGTTGCAACACGAGGAACAATGAAGCTTTAAACACTGTTCACTGAAGGATTCATTCATCGCAAATTCAAAGCACCTATTTTCAGACTTCAAAAACCTTCGCAAAGACGGTGAAAGAAAAGGCCATTAAGAACATTCAGCTCCAGCAAACTTCAGCCTGTGATGTGATGGATATGAACAGACAGTGATGCAGGTGAACTCTGAGCCAAAAAGCAGATTTATTTACTGTATTTGTACAATTGCATGAAGGCAAAAAAAAATGGAAGTTAAAGTTAAAGCAGAGTTGTCACGTGGTGCGTCATTCTCTCCAGGACACACTGCAGTGAAAATACACTTTTGATAATCATGAATCCTTTTATTGTGTATTTGTAGCTAATATAGCTAATACAGCTGCAGCCTGTGTTACCTTCATATAAGCCTTTTACAAGGCTCCTCCAGACACATGTTTTTAGTTTTTTTTGTCAAATATGGCTCTTTGAACCTTTTGAGTTGCCAACCCCTGGTATAAACAAACTTGTATAAAGCGTGAAAAAACATGCTTGGGCCGCCAAGAAGGCAAAAATGCCCGGGCCGTTTTTTTGTCCCAGTCCAGCCCTGGTGTGTGTGTGTGTGTTGTCACGTGTGTGTGGGTCTATGTGTGTGTCTTACCCGCTTTGCCGATCTGCACAGCCAGTTTGGTGAGTTTCCCCTGCAGGACGCTCTTCTCTTTCTTGGGAACACTAGTTTTCTTCTTCTCACGCTCCTCCACCTCTCCGCCCTCCGCGCTCTTCAGCGGCTGCATCTCCATGGCCACGCCGCCATCTTGCTTCTTTGCTGAAAGACGAGACAGAAACAGATTATCAATGTATGTCATTGCATTTATGGTTAAAAAAATTGTCCCAACATGTTTTTGTATGGGAGATGTTATGCCCTATGCTCTTTTACTGCCCCTGATGGAATAAATAAAGTAGTTTCAATCTGAATTGGATTCCCTTGTGACGTCATCACTCGGCAGAGAAAGAGAAATGTCCAATGCTTTTGTTTGGCGTCTTCTTTTCTCTCAAAAACAACTCTACAGGATGGTCCAAAAGTCGGCTCTTGGCCTAAAGCGACGTTTCAGATGCTGTGGGGAGTATATTCTTTTGGACCAGTCTAGTTTAGCCGCTGTGCATTTCAGAAGACTCTTATCACCTTTTCCTGCAGGAGGGGTTTCCCGCGGCCATTTTGAAAAAACCCCATAGAAGCCAAAAGTGATGGCACATTAGTTTCAACGGCGGAGGTTGCCGTGACTTTGTCCGTTAATATTTACAGTCTATGGCTATGACCAACGACTTTCAATAAGATTTGTTACAGTTAAGTGAAAAGTAGAGTTTTCTGGCCCCTAAACTTACTCTAACAAAAATAAAACAATATGTCTAATGTTTTTGCTAATGTTTTTTTTTACAGCCCTACAGAGGACACATTTCTACTTTAACCTAAATCTTGTACAATGCGTTGTTATGGTGGAAAGGGTTTACCTTTGTTTTGGTTGTTCTCCACAGCTCCGTCAGGCTGTTTCCCTGTAACAAAACACCCGATACACAGTCAACGTTTCTGTCGTGTTTCAAGTCAAATCATGTGAACCCGCTTGGCCCAGCCCTGCGCTCACACTGCAGCTCTGAGAAAGTCTGTGGGGACATGGGCCGCTTGGGCATAAGCTATATGGAGGTTATATTCAGCTAAAGCAGCACTGAATCCAATCTAATAATCATAATTAGAGCTCCAAAATCAATTAGAATTGATATACTGTATTTCATTGCTTGGAGTGTGTTAGACCTTAACAGATAAAACATGTCATTCATGGATTACTTGGGCAGATATTTTTCTCAAAGTGCAGAAGCTCTGGAGGCAAGCCAAAAAATGAATAAAAAATACAGCATAATTTACCCTCCATTTTCTCCATTATTAAATTACATTTGAGATTTTTTATTCCGTACAAATGTTACGGCTCCTGTATATGTTGCACTTAGAGAGGAATCCTACCATATCACTCTCAGATATTTTCAGCCCAATAGGACGAATAGGTGCGAAGAAGAGCACCATCTCTCCACATATTTTTCAGATTTGTCAGTGTGAGTGAAGGGTGTTTTGAACAAACATTAAAACCACTTTATCATCACATGAAACATTTGGATCAAAGGAGGAGGTCTGATCAGAACACTGTCACTGCACTGTGTACTGGGGGATCTGATTGGTTCGAGGGGAGGCAGGGAGCAGAACACAGGGCTGAATGCTCACATACCATTGGTCACTGTGTTGTGAGTGACGTCTGTGGAGGTGGGAGCCTGAATGAGTTCCTCTGTTTGATGTGGGCAAAAAAAAAAAAATGACACAGCCAATTAATACTACCAATACAACTACTGCTACTGATACAGCTACTGCTAAAACTAGTGGTATTACCTCTAACACTACTGCTGCTGCTGCTGCGAGTACCAAGACTTTATTAGCCTAACATGGTCAAAAGAAATGACACAAATGGCATCTTTGACACATTTCAATCAGGTTTTATGCTCTACATAGCACGGAGACTGCACTGCTCAGAGTTTTTAATGACCTGCTTTTAACAGCTGACTCTGGTTCTCCTGCCATTTTAGTTCTTTTAGATTTGACAGCTGCTTTTGACACTGTAGATCAGAGCCTTTTAATTTCTCGTTTGGAGCACTACGCTGGTTTTAAAAGCACTGCATTAAACTGGTTCAGGTCCTATCTTTGTGACAGGTGTTTTTCTGTCCATTGTGGGCCCTACAAGTCTGCCCTGGCACCCCTCAATTGTGGTGTTCCACAGGGCTCCATTTTAGGCCCCGCCCTTTCTTCTTTGTATATGCTCCCACTTGGCGATATTCTAAAGAAACACAATGTCTCCTTTCATGCTTATGCTGATGACCTGCAGATCTACCTGCCTTTAAGTCCCATCTCAGTGTCAACTACAACACTGCTAGATTGTCTCCAGGAAGTAAAAACTTGGCTGGCCCAAAATATTTTTGTTCTCAATGAGAGTAAAACTTAAATTGTTGTTTTTAGCTCCAGCCTCCCTGTGGAGCTCACTGATGCACTTGGTGCACTCTCTGCTCATGCCCATTCCTCTGCTAGAAACTTAGGAGTTATTTTTGATAGCTCCTTCAGGATGGACAAGCAAATTAATTCAGTAATCAAAGCCAGCTTTTATCAGCTCGGGTCTTGAGCAGAGTGAAGGCTTACATCCCACCCACTGACTTTGAGCGAGTTATCCACCTTTTTATTTCATCTAGATTAGATTACTGTAACTCGTTGTACTGTGGTCTAGACCTCGGCTCATTAAAGTGCCTTCAGCAGGTGCAGAATGCTGCTGCTCGCTTACTCACGGGGACACGTAAACAAGAGCACATCATCACTGTGCTGGCCTCACTTCACTGGCTCCCTGTTACATTCAGGGTTGATTTTAGGATTCTGATGCTTGTTTTTAAATGTTTGAATGGTTTGGCCCCTGTATATCTGTCGGAGCTGTTATCTCTGTATGCTCCTGCCAGATCAGTGATGTCTGAAAACCAGCTTTTGTCAAACGTGCCCCGGTCTCGTCTCAAAACTCGAGGAGACCAAGCCTTTTCTGTTGCTGCACCCAAACTGTGGAATAGTCTAGTTTAAAGACACATTTTTACGCTCTGGCTTTTAACACCAATTGAGTTTTACCATTTTGCTTTTACGTGTGTATGTATTTCATGCTTTTTTCTTTTGTTTTTTATCTTTCATGCCTGTGAAGAACTTTGAACAGCTGGTGTTGTTGCATATGTGCTATACAAATAAAGTTGAAATTTACATTGACATCGACAACTGTTGTTACAGATACTATTATTGCAACTACTTCTGCTGTTTGATGTGGGGAAAATGGACAGCCCTTAATATTCAAAGCTGTAATGGGCATTATCTTTTTTAAATTATATATGTATACAGTATGTATATATAAAATAGTTAGTTCCCAAAGGTTGCACCGTGACTAGGCTAGTAACAGCTATGCTAATAACAGCTATGCTAGTAACAGCTACGCTAGCTAACTAACTAGAACTCTCTGGAACTACATGAAAACTTAACAAAGAATTCTGAACATCAGCAGTGAGTGACCCATCTACTGTATATACAGAACCTAAATTGTCCTCAAATCTGTCCTAAAATGTTCCACTAATGTTAATTAGTCCGGGTTTTCCGCGATCGTTTTTGGTCACATTAAAACAGTATTTTTGTCATGAAAACGTTTACAGATAATTCTGAAAACCTCTGTGCATGTGTTTTAAGAATGCATACGCATAATGTATTCTTCCGTTAACATTTAAATGTATTGATTGATTGATATGTGTTTTTGAACATGGCTAGCTCCGATAGCTTCCCTGCACAGACATAAGTAGTGACATATTCGAAAATATTCGAATATTTAATATGATTTTTGTGCAAAAGTCAAAGCCCTAGTGTGTTCTGCTGAGTGGAGGCCAACTGTCTTTTTATGTCATTTCAGGTCAAAACAGGATGTGGCTCAAAACTACTGCATTCCCCTTCACAGGGACTCTATGTGGCCTAATCAAATCAGAATGTTTCTGCCTGTGACACATGTAGCTCCTAAGCACTGATTACTGATGTTACCAGCTAACCCCCCACCTGCTGGGGTTTACCTGGTCCCAATACAAACTCTGTGTGTTACGTATGACTTCTTATTTCTGTATCTGCTTTCATTCAAACAATCGTTGTTTGTGAAGGTGGATTTGTTATCTGGGGACACATATAAAAGATAAAGATGTAATTTAATCTGAAGATATTGTATTGACCCTTTAAAGGAGCAACCCTCAACTATGCTGGATCTAAATGTTGTTGCACTAAAATACTCCATAATTAAGAAATTTACATGTTTGAAACCAAAACACACAAAGCAATAATACATTTATAGCAAAAAAATCTGGTTTCGGACCAATGCACAAAAAGCGGATCAACGCCAGGACACCTTTGCGTAGAAATGATGAGTTACTTGGAGTGTGAGGAGGGAGGTTGTCTCCACTCACCCTTCTTGTCCTTCCCGTCCTCCTCCATGTCTCCGGCTCCCAGCAGAGTGAAGATTATGCCAGTTTGAGAGTTGATGCCCACCGCTGTGACCAGCATCCGGCCAGAGCCCTCCATCACGTGAGTGCCTACAAGAGGCAAGACGGTTTAACAGGCACAATGAAAGACTTTCTATCACCAAACAGCTCTCACAGGAACTGAGCGCTTTTCTCTGAACTGTCACATACTTGTAATAGCTCTTGCAACTAGTACATTTAATACATTTAAAAAGTAATATTAGAATAAAATATGAATTATTATTAACATTAAACATGATAATAAAGCTATTTAATTTGTCATGTCATGTTTTAGTCTCTGAGATAATATCTTTTGTGTTTGATGAGGTAAAACATTTGGTGTATAAAGGATTAAGAATGCTATACGCCTGTAACTGCCTATGCTGCCATCAGAGGGAGGAGGCATTCAAATAAAAGCCATGTGATAGTAAAGAACATTGGGCCTCATTCACGAACGGTTCTTAGGAACAGATTTGTACGTAAATCCTACTTACGCGGTTTTTACGAAGAAAGTGGCATTCACGAATATTTCTCGTAACCAGAATTTCTCTTGGGCAAGTACAAATCCTACGAGTCCTCAGGAGCACTCGTACGCATTCAGTGCCGACATGTTCACACGCCGGGGTTGTCCTCTTTGGTGAAGTTGAATAAAAATACAACATTCCAGTGATATGTCCGTCATATCGATGTATGTATTTATTTATTTGTAGTAATCTTTATTAGTAATCTTTATTTATATACCGCCTTTTTCACTGCAGATCTGGCCTACTTTTTAATTCATTTTGAAATGAAATGTGCCAACGCTTTATCAAATACAGTGGAAATCTTGCCGTGTATTAGTGACCCCTTCCTATTTATAGGGGGCATTTCTTTATCCACGGGCCACAGAACAACGGCATATATACTGCTGCTGCAGGAGGTTAGTGGGTCCGCGCTGAGTCTCTGCGCTGGTCTCTCCTATGGATCTATACGGGTCTGCACTGGTCTCTCCCATGGATCTATACGGGTCTGCACTGGTCTCTCCCATGGATCTATACGGGTCTGCGCTGGTCTCTCCCATGGATCTATACGGGTCTGCGCTGGTCTCTCCTATGGATCTATACGGGTCTGCACTGGTCTCTCCATACGCGTCCGTGCTGCATGCTCCTGGATCCATACGGGTCCGCGCTGGTCTCTCAAGTCTGGTCTATGCGGTCTATCTTCGGTCCGCGCTGGTCTCTGCGCACCGGTCTCTCCAGTCAGGTCACTCCAGTCTATGCGGTCTCTCCTATAGGTCCGCGCTGGTTTCTGTGTGCTGGTCACTCCAGTCTCTCCTCGGGTCTGCATTGGTCTCAGCGCTGGTCCGCGCTGGATCTCCTCCCAGGGTCCAAAATATTTTGAGATTAATCTCAAAACATTTTGAGATTCATCTTTAAAATAATACATAATATATTTTTAAATTAAGCTCATAACATTTTGAGATTAATCTCAAAACATTTTGAGATTCATCTTTAAAATAATACATAATATATTTTTAAATTAAGCTCATAACATTTTGAGATTAATCTCATCATATTCTTAGATTAATCTCATAATTTTGCTAGTTCGACTTTATTATCATAATATTTCGACTTTAAGTCAACATTTTATAACTTTATTCTCAGTCTGGTAAAAGAAGAAAAAAGCGTGACTCTTTTGCTCCGTGGCCTGTTGCTTTAGGCCTGTTGCTGTTTCCTCTGCCGTCTGCACACGGCCCTGCAGTCCCTTATATGGGCATTAGTGGGCGGTTACTTATGCTAAGTACCTATGCTAATGAAGCACCTGGCACGCGCGCTCTACTTACGAGGAAATGGGATTCATCAATCTGAGAGAACAGCTGCGAACAATTCAGCGGCTTACGAGTGCGTTGATGAATCCCACGTGGGGACTTCTTAGAAATCTACTTAAGGACAACTTGAGAAGAAAGTTGAGTAGTTTCTTACAAAGTTATTCGTGAATGAGGCCCACTGTTTCACCAAATAAATTACCAAAACTAATTTATGGGCATCTGCTCTGCTCGGAGTGTGATGTCATAGTGGTTCAATTACATCATACTATTACTGAACGGAGACAGGAGCGTTCCTGATAATAGCGTGTATGGGTCTAAAAACGACTATAGGTTTGTTACTGATGGTGCAACAATGTAATAACATCTGGGTTAAAAGCTCAAAAAAAAGATGATTTAAGTAAAATTAAATATATCATGCCTGTTATAAGGGCAAAGTTTCATTCAAGTTGTTTGATCATCTCTCTTAATTTTTTTTTACTTTTGAACCCTTTAATGGTTTTCTCAACCATTTGGTGGATCCCTTTTTACTTAGAAACTGAAATCTACCTCACTGGGGCATCTCTATCACTAGGTTATAGGCACTTTTACCATCAAACTGCATCTCAACCATTTGGTAAAGGCCTATATTTAAAAAAACTAGAGGTTCAAACAAGAGAAAAAGACATACAAAAAGTATCCTACTACATCTTTGAAAATTACAAAAGGGTTGTAAAAAGTGAAATGGATTATTAAAAAAATTTGTGGCCACAAATGACGTGGAGCAGATGGGCACAGACCTGACAGTAACATGGGGTCCTTGTCCACAGACTTGCGCACGTGGTCTGACTCTCCGGTCAGAGAACTCTCGTCGATCTTCAGGTCGTTCCCCTGGACCAAGATCCCATCGGCCGGCAACAGGTCTCCTAGAAACAACCCACACAAACATGGACGCTTTGATTACTTTTGTTAACAACTTTTAGAATTATTTTTTTATGTTATGGATGGTTTCTGCTGCTACTAGACACCTGAGTCTATCTATTAATCTACAGTATTTAACTTTCTTGTTCTTTCCCTTCCAAAATGCTGTATGTACAGCACTGTAAAGTATGTTTTCTTAGGATAGTCCCAGGAAAATGTTTGTATGTTTTTATTCTTGTAAAGTAGGTTGAGTTTTGCCTGAATGTTTAAAATTTTACTGTATTTTGCTATATGAAAAGATTCACCAAAAAGTCAGCCGTTTTGATGAGAAGGGCCAGAAACTGATTCCAAATGCAAGCTATATCTTGAATTCATCTCTTTCATTAGAGACGCATCAAAAACAATATTGGTGTTGAGTATCAATGCAAATATTTTTAAAAGTGTTAAGCTATTGGTACGGTTGTATTTAAATAGATCAGAGACATGTCTGTGTCAGAAGTTCCTAACGCTACCGGACCTGGAGTAAAATGACACATGGATAAAAAAAAGGGTCAGAGAAGGGTTAGGGTCAGAATTAAACTAAAGCTCACCGTATTTGACCTGTGCCATGTCCCCCACCACCATGTCGGCCACCGGCACCTGGATGACGTTGCCCTTTCGTACCACGGCAAACCTCTGCTCCTGCTCGATGCGCGACTGCAGCCCACGGAACTGCTTTTCTTTGCTCCAGTCGTTAAACGCTGTTACCAAGACGACGCACACCACCGACAACAAGATGGCAGCACCCTCGATCCAGCCGGCCTCCGCCTCGCCCTCATCCTCTCCCCCCGCAGACACGTTCCCACACGCTGCAAGTAAAAACACAGGAGGAGAGCATTCAGCAATCTATCAACAATCACCAAAAATGATTGTTGATAGATTTGATTCCAAAAGATAACATGTTCCAAAAGCATGTTATCTTTTGGAACATGCTTCAGAGTCCAGATTATGATTACAATGATCAAACCCATAGATTTTCTTCTGCTTCATCCCTTGCTGGGTTGCAGGGGCAGCAGTCTAAGCAGAGATACTCAGACTTCCTTATAGAAGCTCACCTGAGAGACAAAGGTGTCTTACCCCAGGGTCTCTTCCAGGTGGGACATGTCCGGAACACATCCCAGGGAACCATCCAGGGAGTCATTCCAAACAGATACCCAACTGGACCCTCTCTTGTGACTGAACTTCTCATCTTGAACAGATTTCCCAACCCCTTTGTAGAGGGAACCAACATCTGTAATCTTGTCCTTTTGCTCAATATCCAAAGCTCCAAGAGCCATAGGTGAGGGTGGGAACTTTGACCTCACCACAACGGTTCCCGAACCAGACTACCTCTGGTCCCTGCTGTCTCCAAACCAGACTCGCCCCTAGCTTCACCTAGAAATTATGTTAGCAAAAATAGTAAAGTGAATCTATGTCATAGACATGGTGGAGGCTAACATGCCCTGTGAACAGGTCTGACTTACTGCCAGCAATGTGAACACAACTCTGACTCCGGTCATACAGGGACCAGATGGCTCTCTGCAAAGGACCCCAGAGGATTGAGCTGAATCTCAAAGTATTCCCTACACTGTCCAACAATATCCCCGGTTGAGATCAGCAGCTCTCCACCTGCACTGTAAAGCACTGCTTCCTCTGTATTGGACACAATACAGAGTTTTTGCCGCGAGTAGTGGTACACACTTGGTCTACTGGTACTGGACAGCTGCCAGGAGTCCCACAATCCCTCTTGGATTGTACATTTCTCCATTGTGTGATCAATATAGTTTACCTTATCTTATCTTCTTCTTCCGCCTGAATGCATCTTTCGCTACCAGAAATTCCAGGTCCTGGACTGATTGAGCACGGCCTCAATACTATCAATAAACTATGTTACAATTTCTTCTATTAGTTGATTAGTCACAATTTGTTTACTAATTCATACAGTCCTTGTGGAAAAGGGGGACTGGATGAATTAAAGCAGATCAAAACCAGGTCAAAAGCATCTAAAGTAGGTCTAAACCTACAGGCCTACAGCGGTTCTTAAAGCCTTACCCTCTGTATCTTTGCCTGGCGGCTGGTAGAAGGACAGGCCTAGGGAGATGATGGCTGCGATCTCCAGGATGATCAGTGTCACGTCTTGCAGAGCTTCCCATACTAGCTCCAAAAACGTCTTGGCTTTTTTAGGAGGAATAAAGTTCTGACCAAACGTCTGTCCTCTATGCTCCAAGTCTGCAGGCTCCCCGCTCACACCTTAGGGAGACAAAACATGAAAAATGTACAAGGGATTCCATTCTGCATTGTACACATTCTGCACTCTTTGCATTACTATTAAGACAATGGTCTGAGAACCTCAATCATATTTATTGCATTTGCTGTCCAAGCTGGAATTTGACCTCAACACAAAGAAATACAAACAGTACCTGTATACTACACACCTCAACAAATGATTGCCACCTGGACAGGAAAGCTTGATACTATCAGTCCTCAGAAGCTAAGCAGGGCATGGTCTGATTAGTGATGTGATGGGAGACCCCTGGGAACACCGGGTGCCACAGTAGGAGCTTCACCCATGTTGCCTAGTATGACACTGGGGTGTGTGCATGATTGGTGTTGCTCAGAAGAGCCAATGGCATGAATTAATAGCCTCATTACCATCAGTCCTCCCACAGGTAAGCTGGGCTTTCAGTAGTAGTTTGCTGTCACAGGATATGGAGTGAAATGAGTGTCAATGCTACTATAACACTGCATGGAACAGTTCATGTAGTATTTGCAAGTTAAATAGATCAGGTAAGCCTTTACCAGGTAGAATGTTGGCTCTTGCAAAACTGAAACGCAAAATGTACAACTCATGAAAGCACAACTGCACTTTTCTGTTTATGTGGGTTTTTTCCCTGTAATTTTTTTAAATGTTTTATTCTTTCCAATTATTATTTTTTTATTCCTGCAGATCGTGTTCATGCAGCACTGTAGCCCACAGCAAATTTCCCTTGGGACAATACACATCTTTTCTTGTAAGTCTGCATATGGATGGCCTACAGTTGGACTTTCCACTCATGATTAACACAGGTGTTGGGGTTCAGGTGGTGACCCTTCAGATTTGACTTCATACTAGAAAGACAGTGTGTATGATGTGTCTTTCCCAAGGCCATAATGACAGTTTTCATACTTTACAGTCCCAGCCATTCCCCTGTGGCTCCAAATACGGTGGTCTCCCATCACAGAGATAACCAGGACATGCTATTTTCGAACCAGATGTAACATAAAATAGAATATGTGCATACGGCTCCTACAATTTGACGCTAGCATGTGTATTCTGTCATTCCCTTTGCTGTCTCCAGTCTTACGCTGCAAAAATGACCCTCCACCCCCCTTCTCCTTCCTCGAACATGAGAGATGCAGTTTCCATGGAGACCACAAACCGCCGCTTCCTGCATCACACAGGCTTCTACCCGGCAACAGGTGATGTCAGTGCCCACAAAACGCAGCTTTCTGCCTCTTATAATTAGCTTCAGTTTTTTTCTTTTTCTTATTGGCTGTGGGAAAAGGGGGAAGGACTGTTCGGACGCTATAATTGGTGGAGGCGAGCATCCGTCTTGGTGTATAGTCTTTGCAGATATGGATTGTTGTTTCTACATGTACGATTGTGGAGTTGTTGTGAGGAGGTTTTCAGCAGATGTAAGGTGGAGGAGTGGATGTAGGGGCCACATTTTCATATGTTTTTGTCCTTTCATTGCTCTGTCCATTGGTTCTGTCGATGCTCTGTCTCTCCCCTTGATGTGTCCTTGACAATGCGGCAAGCTTTCACCTCCCATCCTCTCACACGCTACACTGCAAAAACACTCCACCAGCAGCAAGTGGGCATGCTTTGACAAGACATTTCACTTTCACTACACATTCAGTCAGAAAAAATGTCATCAGAATGTAGTCCAGCGGGTCGACAGCACACATTTTTGCTACAAACAATGCTAGAAACAATTGTACAGTTTTAAGCTGAGGAACTTAAAGAAAACATCACAACACAAATCCATGTAACTCCTTGCTCGCTCCCAAAACAGTTTGGTAATATCATTAGTTTTCACATCATTTTTTGCCCCTTTCAATCTATAGCTCAGCTTTTTCAGAGAAGGGTAAAAGAAAGGACCGCCCACCCTAACCCTTCAAGATAACATGTTTGCTAATGATGAAGACTCATTATTTCACTTTTAGCTGCCTCTTTCTGTTTGAATAAACATCATAAGTTCTTTATGAAAACAAAACAGTACTCCAGCTTTAATGGTGAGGGCACACGCACAGAACATGCAAACATCTCACACAAAGAACCCAGAACCCGAGAAAAGACGCCAAGACCTTCCTAGAACAGGACTCTTTACACAAAGTGCTTTGGTGAGTCACTGTGCCACATCTGCCCTGGGGCGCAAACAAACATCTCTGTGAACATGACCAATAACAACTTTATTATGCAACAGTTTACTGTTTTTTGTTCAGAAGGTTGGAATGATTCAAATGTGAGATGTTGGCAGAACGTGTTTGTTTTTGCTCCACATGTTTAAACACAGATTGTAGACACATTCACAGCTCGCCTGTCCACTGGCTCCAAAACACCAAACAAAACTGTACAACGTTCAATGTCTTCTCTGTCAGAAAAAAACAAAAACAAAAAAACAACACCAAATGGTTTTCTTTGAAAGAATTAGTTATCAGAACCAGAATCCAAATCTATCAAAACAGTTTTTTTGTTTGTTCCAGCAGAAAGAGTGTTGTTTAAGTTTGTTGTAGACAAATCGGACGACAACATGCTGTCTTTGTCTTATAAGAAAACGTTTAATCTTTTTCATACTCTTTTGTTGTGCCTTGAAGTAATCTGTATCATCATTTGAGAATGTCTTGACTGTCTTCATATCCTGTAATTATCTGAGGGGGAATGGGCCAGAATTCCATCCAACTATTGTGAAAAGCTTGTAAGGAATAGGGTTAATTTCTTTCTTTCTTTTTTTTTCTTTTTTTTACTTCATATTTCTTTTTGTGGAGTACAGTGACTTTTTCTCACTCGACTTTTTGAGTCTAATATTTGCTATTTGTTAAATCAGATTGTTTTGTTCTAAAACGATTCTAAGTATGGATGCACCAATCAACCAATCCAGCTAATGTCCAATACCGATCCTGATACTTTTGCCAATTCCTTTTTGGCCCTGGTTCTCTTCGGGCCAAGCTGGTACTAAAGTGTTCCCACTGACTGATGCTGTTGGAAGCCATGCTTACTAAGGAGTTCCCCTAGATACTGGTTTGTTGTAGGTAGATGGCTAGGATATTGTACCACACTGTGCTGTGTAATGGAAACACAAACAGTTAGAGTGGAGTAGGGCCAAGGAGGGCTGGAGAAAACGGGGCGCTACTCTTTATGACATTTTGGGCTAATATAATCAAAATAAAGGCCGACTTAAGATATCGTCTGAGCCGTTATCATCAAACTAATACCCAATCCAACACAAATTCCCATATCGGGAGAGGTATTTGATGCCACCACTATAGTAAGAGTCTATAGTGTGTCCAACACACCCAAAAACCATAAGACAACTGCGCCAGGGGCTCTTGGAGAAAGACCAAATAAATTCCTTTATGTAAAACATTAGCCAACAAGGAAAGTGCTAGAATGAGGCTTGAATTGTACAAATGGTTACATTGTGTTTTGAGCCATTTTAAGCCAGGAAAATTCAACTTTAGGCTCTTTAAACCACGCGATTATAAAATAAAATCCATGATAAGATCAAACATTTGTGGATCTTCTGTTGGGACACACTGTAAGCGTGTGGCGTGTGCACTTGTGATGAGTGATAGATTTCTCTGGGTTTTTGGACTATTTCGGGCGTGTGTATTTGATCCGCTCGTTGCACCGATTTGGTTCTGTTTTTCTGTGCGGAGGGCTTTTGTTGCTCTGTCATAACGCAGAGGGGAAATGTCACAAATTATGGCTCATGAATGATCCGTCAGTGTTTAGAAAATTACATTAGGACAGTATCGGGAGGATAGAGAGGAAATGTACACTGGTCTGGGTTTGAGCTCAGGAATACACTCGGGCTTTTCTGCTGTTTTAAAGGGAACATGATATTGACTTTTCACTTTTAACTGTGCTGGTAAATGTGAAAAGTCTCCTTAAAGGATATATTCCATCTTCCACAAAAGCAGGAAGTATCCGTCGAAACATGTCAAGGTAATAACCTTGCTAACCTAATATTGTCTGGTTTAGAATAACCAAATACTTTTAATGGCAGATTTTACTTTTAATAATGCTAATACAACAATATCAGACATTTTAACAGTGTGAAGTACAAAATTAGAATTGTGCTGACATGTTTCTGTATGAATCAATGACCTTGCGATGGCAATTATATTATATTATTATAAAAAGTAATGTGTATAGTATAAAAACTGTAAAATAATGGGCAACAGACAACACACAGGGATTCAAAGTAAAGACTTTTCTGCAACTGGTTCCTCCTCTCTGCTTGTCACATGGGGTTCGCTGCTGTCTGCCTCACACTTGCACTAAAACCCTGATGGCGAGAATAAAGACAGGAGAAGAAGCCTCTGTGAAGTCACCCATCAGATACCCTTTTTCTCCACCAAACGGTTAAGAGCTGATGTGTGAGCGTGCAGAAGCAACACATGCTTAAAGTGCCCTGTACGTGCACGCAGACTTCACCGTGGCTTAGACTGTCGTATAGTGAAGAGAAGTGCTCAGGGCCCAGATGCACAGCGAACGGCTGAATACACACAGTCACTATTCTATTTTATTACATTTTCCAATTGTTTCTTTGTGTATCTTTAATTATCAAACAATATCTCAACAAAGTAATTATAAATACATCACCCTGGGACTTCTGGTAAATGAAGGTCAGACATTGATGAACAGTAGTGTTGAAGCATCACGTCCACTAATCAAAAGGTACAGAGGAGGATTTTCCTTTCCCTCTCCACTTTTTAAACAAAACTCTTATTTTATGAGCTTGTATCACCAGAGTGATTGACAATTGGGAGGACAAATAGTCTTGATGATCCACCCGGAAATAGAAAATCCTCCTGTATACCTATTAAAGAACAAATATTATACATTATCTAGTGGCCCTTATCTAGACAAAATTCACTTTGATGTTATTAAATGTTCACTAATTTCTTAATATTTGAATAAGCATATGTAACAAAGGAGTAGTAGATGCTAGAATATGTCAATACTGCTATCTAGTAGTGAATTG